AATAATTGGACTCGTGGATCGTGAAGAAATACGAACAAAAACCAACAAACGCAAGTGTCCCGATTAGAAACTTTGGTAACCTTTAAAAATGTTAGATTTTTGTATGAAATTCCTCTTAATTTCATAATTTTAATAGTTTGTAGAATTACGTGTATAAAATGTCATTTTGATTACTAGGATTTAAATTATAATTGGTGTTTCTGATTTTGACTAATTCTAACTCTTATTTTTTCCGAACTGTTGCATTTATATCGAAAGCAGCTAGTTGGCATTGATATTGACATCTTTGCTCTTTTTATTTCTTTTCAAATTGTTATTTCTGGGTTTTCGATTAAATTTAGTACTACTAATTGATAGCTATACCTAGTCTCTTTTTTTGGCTCTTATTGGTTAACTCAGCTAATCATAAATATCAAAAATTACTCACGATTATATATAAAATTAAATTAATTAATAAGAGCTGTAAGAAGAAACACAAAGATAGGGAAAAAAAAAAGAAACACAAAGCATGTTCAAGTAAAATTATAGATAAATACTAATAATATTAAGAAAAACTCCATAGAACTATAGAAGTCCAAGAGAAGGGGTTAGATTAATTTGGAATATAATAATAAGTGAAATAATTAACTAAAGCTAATCTAAGGTCAATGCATTACTTATCATATAGTATTCATATTCAGATCGCGTTACTAACTTACTGATCATATAGTATTCTTTTTCTTTTGGCATACTAAATTACTAATCAGAAATTTATGTGTAGTTTCGTAATTCGGACTCATAAAAAAATGGTCAAGTCGTGGTGAAAAGGACAATCACTCAAAACTAAAGGCACTAACAAAAATTTCAACAAAATATATTTTCACTCGTTCGTCAAAACTTAATTGATATTATAGAAAGACATCAATATGACTCATGTATGTAGACTCCACTACATTTTCCCTGTTATTTCTCCTTCTTTTTTTTTTTTTCAAATATCATTTTGATATTTTTTTCCCAATGGCATATCAAACACTCACAGTTAAAACCTTTTTTTTTTTTTTTTTTTTTAAATATAATATTTATTAAAAACCCAAATGGGATGGGCCTTGGACCATACAAATTTGGAACCAGATACAAAATGGAAATCGGAAAATGTCACCGGAGACTAAAACGGAAGCTCGGATCTTGTTGGTTACCGGTGGCAGAGAGTCAGTCGCATTAGATCCGGTGGTTTCAAGGTCCACGGCTTTGAGGCAGAGAAGAAGGATTGAAAACCCCGTTGGAAGAAACCAGTTTCCGACGATGCACCTCACCGTCGACTCGTCAAACCCGCTACAAACCTCCCAGAAAATTCAACTCTCCGACACACCAGCTCTACGTCGACATATCCTGACCAAGCAATATGTCGCACTGGGACCAAACCCCTCCGTTCCAGATCCGAACACCTTCAAACCTCCAGAGCACAGTTAAAACTTGAGAATTTTTGTTTAACTAAGAGTGATTTTTTCCAAGTCTTAACTACGGTCTCAATCTCCCTCTTTGTTTTTTTTTTTTTTTAAAGGATCCGATAACTGAATCTTCAAAATGAAAATTAAATTACTAGGAGTTTAGGACTACGTTTCGTTTGAATAATGAAAAACTTATTTATAAAAGTGGAGCGGCAAGCAATATCGCTTGATCAATTAGTATTAATATAATGGTAAAAACCAATATAACTATGATTATTGTATAATTTGTACTCATGATCATAGAGGCTAGAGAATCTGATAGGCTCTCCAATGTTCACATATACGTTGACATTTCAGTGAAACAACAAATTGCAAGAAAATTTCCTTGACAACAACAAATTAAGACCTGCAAACAACTCTGTTTCCACATAAAATTTGTTGTTTTTATCATTTAAATAAGAAGCTCTACAACACGTCTAAGAAACTACGTTGTAATTTAAAACGACAAGTTTAGAACTTATCTGAGGACCATTTTAACCGATGTTGAAACTAGAAGACCGAGTCAAATGAAAAAAAGATTAGTAAGAAAAGTGTAATTGACAACAACGAAGAACGTGAAGTTACAATCTTGGAATTTTAATTATTTATCGCCGGAGCAACCCACATATTCTCGGAGCTCTTTTCGCCGCCGACAAAGTTAATTTTCATGGGCCCGAGTGGATGTATTATTTTGTTGATCAGATTGGGCCGTTTAAGATTTGTTGGGTTTTTTCTCCTTGTACTCGTTTGCTTTCTTCTTGGGTTTGACCGTTTGAGACTTTTTTTTGTGGATTTATGGGCTTCTCTTTAATTTGCTACAATTAAATTTTGTTATACCACTAGATTTTAACCCGCGGTACACCGCGGGGCTATATTTTCTTAAAAAAATCAAAATATAATTTGTTTGATAGATTATTTTGATTGTTAATTTTAGGATTTCACCGGTGGTATACTATCTTTTATAAATATCAACCCAAACCGGTCCCATCATATTATCCGTCCCGTGAAATTAAACATTATTTAGTTATTTTTCTTTTTAATAATACTTTTATTTAAAAGCTATATAATTCAAGTCAATTTAAAAATTTCTTTTAAATGGTTCCCATAAGATATATATACATATATATTAAATTTGTATAGAGTTGAAATAATATTAATATTACAAACTTTTTATATAATTTAAATATTATAAATATTTTTAAAAATATGCAATATATATTTTTTGTTATTGAATAAGAGGATATTATGTATAAGAAATGTAGAAAATAAGAGTTTAATATTTTTATTATGGAGTCGCAAGAAAAATCTTTTATTTCTATACATGTTATTCGTTTATTAATAATAAAAGAAAACAAATCCTTTAAATTAGATATTAACTAAAATAAACGCACCATAATTACTTATTAAGTAACAACCAATAAATTTCACCAAAAAATAGGTAACAACCAATAAATTCTAAACGCAGTAATTAAAGAATGAGATATTAAAAAAAATATATCAAATAAGATATAAGAATCTTAAAATAATTGAACATCTAAATAATTTAATTGTTAGTGTCGATTTTAATGCCTTCATTAATGTGGATTTTTTTTTTGTACAGAGAAATATTTCTTAAAGATTATCACATTAATGACTCAGAAAATTAAGGAAGATATGAATTTATGATTCTCGAAATCGTGTTGGTAATATCTTTAATTAATATTTTTCAAATTTAAATAATTAATGTCAATGGCATTCATCCGTAAATAAGGTGGAACTCCAGGATTTATTTGCTAAAAGTCATCCAAAAATGTATATATAGATAGATTTTAACCCGCGGTACACCGCGGGGCTATATTTTTTTAAAAAATCAAAATGTAATTTGTTTGATAGATTATTTTGATTGTTAATTTTAGGATTTCACCCGTGGTATACTATCTTTTATAAATATCAACCCAAACCCGTCCCATCATATTACCCGTCCCGTGAAATTAAACATTATTTAGTTATTTTTCTTTTTAATAATACTTTTATTTAAAAGCTATATAATTCAAGTCAATTTAAAAATTTCTTTTAAATGGTTCCCATAAGATATATATACATATATATTAAATTTGTATAGAGTTGAAATAATATTAATATTACAAACTTTTTATATAATTTAAATATTATAAATATTTTAAAAATATGCAATATATATTTTTTTTTATTGAATAAGAGGATATTATGTGTAAGAAATGTAGAAAATAAGAGTTTAATATTTTTATTATGGAGTCGCAAGAAAAATCTTTTATTTCTATACATGTTATTCGTTTATTAATAATAAAAGAAAACAAATCCTTTAAATTAGATATTAACTAAAATAAACGCACCATAATTACTTATTAAGTAACAACCAATAAATTTCACCAAAAAATAGGTAACAACCAATAAATTCTAAACGCAGTAATGAAAGAATGAGATATTAAAAAAAAAATATCAAATAAGATATAAGAATCTTAAAATAATTGAACATCTAAATAATTTAATTGTTAGTGTCGATTTTAATGCCTTCATTAATGTGGATTTTTTTTTTTACAGAGAAATATTTCCTAAAGATTATCACATTAATGACTCAGAAAATTAAGGAAGATATGAATTTATGATTCTCGAAATCGTGTTGGTAATATCTTTAATTAATATTTTTCAAATTTAAATAATTAATGTCAATGGCATTCATCCGTAAATAAGGTGGAACTCCAGGATTTATTTGCTAAAAGTCATCCAAAAATGTATATATAGATAATCAATATAGACTAAATTTTCAATTTTGACAAAAGAAATAATTTATAGTTTTATTTTTTGCTAAGTTGGCTTGTAACTTGAGGACAAGAAACAACGGTAACAAATGACAACTCCAAGAATTAGTAAAGTGAGCGTTAACTCTCTCAGAAGTCAGAATTCTTCAGTTCAGGTAAATAAATCACGTGACTAACTTGGTGGGAGACCGCACGTGCCTCCCTCGTGATTCATTTCCAGAAGCTATATCATGATTAAAAAGATGCCGGTTTTTTAATTTCGGTTTAAAGTTATCAAACCGATCGGTACGAACATAAAAGTTTTCGTTGCAAAAAGGAAGGAGTCTTTTATTTTCCCGCCCAAAGGGACTTGTTGCGCAAGTTCGCGCCGTCACAAACGGAAAAATTACAGATTAAATTATTAAATATTAAAGTGGACACAAATATATATTAATATTTAAAGATCTGCCAATAATGATGGTGGAGCGTCTGAAACGGTGCGGGTAGGGTCACGCGTTACATAAATTTGGTGCTACCAACCACTCAAATTTCACCACGTCATCATAGCCAGCTCACACTAAGCTGTTTAAATCAATCTCCACCGTCCGATTGATTGGGAGAAAGAGACGATAAACAGCTTCGTGAGAAAGATTCCCGTTTTCCTTTTTTTTTTTTCTCCCTCCCAAATTTCGAAATTTTTTAAAGGAAAATAATCTGAAAATTTTAATTAAATTTATTTATTTTGATATATAAAATAAAGATGTAACCGCCTCTTTTTAGGCTTCAAAAGTTTTCCCTCTTACGATTTCGGGTTCGAGAGAAGAATGGAGGTGGTGGAGAGAGCGACGGAGATGGCGGAGGAAGGATGTACGACGCCGAGAAGCAGGATGTATAGGATTCCGGTGGCGTCTGTTTGTCCACCGCCGCCGAGGAAGAAATTGATGGTGGTGAGGAAACGAGATCCGCCGAGGAACGGGTATTTTCAACCACCGGATCTGGAAACTTTGTTCTACGCACAGCCTCGAAGAAAAGCTTGCGCTTAGATATTGAGATTTGATTTGATATTTCTAGGGTTTTTACTTTCTTCTCTGTAGATACATGTTTATGATTTGTTCTCTTAGATTAGATTTTATCATTCAGAGAGATGACTTTGTTTTGTGTATCGAAATTGGAGTTTACAAAAATGAAACTGCCATCTGTTTTCCAATTCGAAATTTGTTGGCTTGTGTTGTAGATCTAATTTCTTTTTCATATCGGTGATTGAAAGATAAATTGTGAAACGTTAAAGAGTTTGTCAGAGATTACACAATTGGGTGAGAAAGTGAGATTCGTAAATTGTGAACAAGACAGCAGCAAAACCTTAAGAAAATTGGAGATGACCTCTGTAATGTTTTTATTTGCTCTCTTCTTTTGGTTACAGTGTAGCTTCAAAAGTGTTGAAAAAGTACTGCTCAAACTCTTGATCAATGGTTTGGTTTATGTGGTAGCTTCTTCGGAATCTGCAATTCTAATGGAGAAAGAATATCACAAATCAATTTCATACAATTTTGCAATGTGTGACACTAAAATATTAACTCTTGTAGCTTGTCTTTGCTTTGTTTTTCATATATTAAGTACCTTGGTTGCTAACACTCCACCTAGTAGAAGAAAGAATAATAGACTCTACTGGTTTTATGGAACCTCTTGAAGATCTTCAACTGCAGACTCGGAGTCGGGACAAAAGAATTCCATGTGAGTATAGTCTTCGACATCTTCTTGTGTCTTATGAATAACTTTGGAACTGTACTGGTCTACGCAATTGATGTAACATAACCGGACTAGAACTTCCGGTTGAATAATCAGAGTCTTTAAACTTGTACAAATAAGGCCCTATGACAGATGCAGAAGGGGAAGTCTCATCGCCGGTTTTTGTGTCCTCCATGGCTCCATGGCATAAGAGCATTCTTCAGATTCTATATCTGATGATGGACATGAAGAGAAGCTTATTGCTCCAGAAAAAAAGTGCTTCCGTAAGGGTAACAAGTCTGATTCTTCAACACACAGTTTCCTCTTTTTGCTTGAGTCAAAAGGTTCGGCATCAACTATCATCGAATCGTTGATATCCTGAAGGTCACATACTTACTAGTTTTCCATGAGACAAAATAGTAAAGATAAAGAGAAAGACTATATATACTGGAACTACCAAAGACCAAAAACAAGGTGAAATATTTACATAAACATTGCAGTGATTAGTGATACTGATACATATGTAGATAAATTCCTGTTGTTTACATATGTAGATAAATTATTTGGATATTCTCTGTTTTTTTTTTCTTTTTACACCGTAAATTTCTCCAGCTTTCATCTCTTTTAACATATTTCTCTCATCTTTATATAATAATAATAACTAGATTTTAACCCGCGGTACACCGCGGGGCTATATTTTAAACAAAAGTTTGAAAATTATCTATAGATATAACCTATTGTTTTGTTTGGTTAAATATACTTACATATGTATATATTATATATATTACCCCGCGATACTTCGGGTCGATTTTTTATAACAATAATTTTTAAATTTTAAGTTGTATTTTTTGTTAATATTATTTATTTTATTTAGTGTTTAAGATTATATAACTGTATTTGATTGTTAATCCAAGGATTTCACCCGTAGTATACCGTCCCGTATTAATATCGACCCAAACCCGTCCCACCATATAACCCGTCCCATGAAATTAAACATCATTTTGTTATATTTCTTTTTAATAATATTTTTATTTAAAAACATATACAATTCGAGTCAATTTATAAGTTTGCTTTAAAAAACATATAGTTGTAATGTTTTTATTATAATAAAGTAATAATATATAGATGTTGCTTACTATAGTTATAATTAAAACCAACTAAAAATCTAAGTTTAGTGTTGATTATGAATCATAGTTACGACCAAAAAAAAAATTAATCAAATACAATTAGTGTAAATTAACTAATTAAGAAAACAAACAGAAATATAACAAAACTTGCTTTAAAATCGTTAACAAAAAAAGGAAACATCATATTTAAGCAAGATCTTTGGAGCCAAAATCTTTTTTTCATATCTTTTATTTAATTTTCCAAATCTTAAGAATTAAATCCAGTGGCATTCTATTGTAAATAGTAGTGAAAGCCAGGATTTATTTCATAATTGTATTCAAAAATGTATATATAGACTAGATTTTAACCCGCGGTGTACCGCGGGGCTATATTTTCTTAAAAAAAATCAAAATGTAATTTGTTTGATAGATTATTTTGATTGTTAATTTTAGGATTTCACCCGTGGTATACGATCTTTTATAAATATCAACCCAAACCCGTCCCATCATATTACCCGTCCCGTGAAATTAAACATTATTTAGTTATTTTTCTTTTTAATAATACTTTTATTTAAAAGCTATATAATTCAAGTCAATTTAAAAATTTCTTTTAAATGGTTCCCATAAGATATATATACATATATATTAAATTTGTATAGAGTTGAAATAATATTAATATTACAAATTTTTTATATAATTTAAATATTATAAATATTTTTAAAAATATGTAATATATATTTTTTGTTATTGAATAAGAGGATATTATGTGTAAGAAATGTAGAAAATAAGAGTTTAATATTTTTATTATGGAGTCGCAAAAAAAATCTTTTATTTCTATACATGTTATTCATTTATTAATAATAAAAGAAAACAAATCCTTTAAATTAGATATTAACTAAAATAAACGCACCATAATTACTTATTAAGTAACAACCAATAAATTTCACCAAAAAATAGGTAACAACCAATAAATTCTAAACGCAGTAATTAAAGAATGAGATATTAAAAAAAAAATATCAAATAAGATATAAGAATCTTAAAATAATTGAACATCTAAATAATTTAATTGTTAGTGTCGATTTTAATGCCTTCATTAATGTGGATTTTTTTTTTTACAGAGAAATATTTCCTAAAGATTATCACATTAATGACTCAGAAAATTAAGGAAGATATGAATTTATGATTCTCGAAATCGTATTGGTAATATCTTTAAGTAATCTATATATACATTTTTGAATACAATTATGAAATAAATCCTGGCTTTCACTACTATTTACAATGGAATGCCACTGGATTTAATTCTTAAGATTTGGGAAATTAAATAAAAGATATGAAAAAAAGATTTTGGCTCCAAAGATCTTGCTTAAATATGATGTTTCCTTTTTTCGTTAACGATTTTAAAGCAAGTTTTGTTATATTTCTGTTTGTTTTCTTAATTAGTTAATTTACACTAATTGTATTTGATTAATTTTTTTTTTGGTTGTAACTATGATTCATAATCAACACTAAACTTAGATTTTTAGTTGGTTTTGATTATAACTATAGTAAGCAACATCTATATATTATTACTTTATTATAATAAAAACATTACAACTATATGTTTTTTAAAGCAAACTTATAAATTGACTCGAATTGTATATGTTTTTAAATAAAAATATTATTAAAAAGAAATATAACAAAATGATGTTTAATTTCATGGGACGGGTTATATGGTGGGACGGGTTTGGGTCGATATTAATACGGGACGGTATACTACGGGTGAAATCCTAGGATTAACAATCAAATACAGTTATATAATCTTAAACACTAAATAAAATAAATAATATTAACAAAAAAATACAACTTAAAATTTAAAAATTATTGTTATAAAAAATCGACCCGAAGTATCGCGGGGTAATATATATAATATATACATATGTAAGTATATTTAACCAAACAAAACAATAGGTTATATCTATAGATAATTTTCAAACTTTGTTTAAAGTATAGCCCCGCGGTGTACCGCGGGTTAAAATCTAGTATTTTTCAAATTTAAATAATTAATGTCAATGGCATTCATCCGTAAATAAGGTCCAACTCCAGGATTTATTTGCTAAAAGTCATTCAAAAATGTATATATAGATTGTATCATTCATAAAAAGGCTATTGTATTTAACAAAAAATAAGTAATATCAAATACCAAGTCTACCCGAAGTACTCGTGTAATCCCTATATATCTCCTCTCTTAACTGTATCATTCACAAAGTTATTTGAACCTATCTTCTTCCTCTGTTCCTTGATTTTCATAAGATCCAATCTCTCTCACTGCTGAGAAAATATGGGGATCATATCATCCACGGTTTTGAAACTCGTGCACATATCTCAAAACTACAATCAAGTGGTAGATTCGTCAAGCGGTTGGCAAAATCAATTTGAAGTTTTCATGAAAGGAGGTGCTTGCAAACAAGTATTTATGGATTTTCAAGATTGCGTGGATAATTCTAAAAAGAAAAATGAAACTATCGGTCAGTGTTACCCGATGCTACATAAGTGTATGGAGGCTCACTCTGATTACTATAAGCCGATCATTGCAATGTCTAAAGCATCGTTAAAAGTTTTAGATGAAAGCCTTGTGAAGACTTTCCTACCTTCAACTACTGTTTCCCTAAACGAAATAAACGAAGATGAAGATGAGAAGTTTGTAGAATTCATGAAAGGAGGTGGTTGCAAAGAATCATACACTGCTTGGCATGATGATTGCAATTTCACTGAGGAGGAAGCTGAGAAGAACAAAGATTTGGTTACTAAGTGTGCGGGACTCTTTGGGAAGCTATCCAAGTGTCTGGATGTTCACTCTGATTACTATCATCCAATTCTCGCGGTGAGGAAAACTACTGAAGAACATTTGGAGAAGGAGCTCGCAGCTTTCTTCGCGGAAGGAAGCTAAGAGACATGATTTTGAGGATTTTGTTTTTTTTTTAATGCTTTTTTTTTCTTTCTTTTTTACTTTGAATCAATACTCTTTCCGTTTCTTTTTTTTATGATTCTAGAGATAATTTGCTCTAAATTATGTTTATGCCCATCAATGTTTCACTATAAACCTTAAAGGATCAGCATTGGACAAGCATTTAAGGGAAATGATCATTGTGAATAGTTTCAGTATTTGTGTCTAACACTATATAGTAGTATTGAAGGTGAGATCCATGGATCATTTGTCTACAACATCGGCGACATGTAAAAGGTTTGTTCTGATCTGGTTTTATATGTTTCTAACCAAAAACGAGGTAAAATATTTACATAAACATTGCAGTGATTAGTGATACTGATACATATGTAGATAAATTCATGTTGTTTACATCATGAGTGTTGAAAAGTACTGCTCAAACTCTTGATCAATGGTTGGTTTCGTGGTAGCTTCTTCGTAATCTGCAATCCAAATGGTGAAAGAATAATCACAAATGAATCCCATACACAATGCGTAACACTAAATCATTTAGCTTTTCATTGATTACCTTGGTTGCCAACACTCCACCTTGCAGAAGAAAGAACATAAGACCCAACTGGATTCAGAACCTCTTGAAGATCTTCAACCGCAAACTCGGAGTCGTGACAAATGAATTCCATGTGAGTGAAGTCTTCAGCATCTTCTTGTGTTTTGTGATCAACTTTGGAAAAACATTGTTCTATGCTTGATGTAGCAGCATAACCAGAACTAGAACTTCCGGTAGAATAAATAGAGTCTTTAAACATGTACAAAGAAGGGCCTGTAAAGGATGCAGAAGAGGAGGCCTCATCGCTGGTTTTTGTGTCCTCCATGGCATAAGAGCATTCTGCATATTCTATATCTGATGATGGAAATGAAGAATCAACAAGAGAAGCTTGTTGCTCCAGACAAAAGTGTTTTGGTAGGGGTAACAAGTCTAATTCTTCAGCACGCAGTTTTCTCTTTTTGCTTGAGTCTAGAGATTCCACAGCAACTATCATCGGATCGTTGATATCGCTGAAACCATGTATTGTATAGTGAAGGTCATGAATCGACTTATTTTCCATGCGACAAAAGAGGTAAAAGATAAAAAGAAGACTAATACTCAGCTCATACCATAAAGGGTCATATCCACAATATGACAACTATCCATAAAGTATTCACACCATTTAACAAAAGAAAAAACATTTACCATTGATACCACTGAGATAAAGAGAAAAGGATCACAAATTAGTCCAGAATCTAAATCCACAAGTAAAATATGTATAGAGCAAAGATAAGATTCAAGTGTTGAGTATCAGTTAAGCCATCAACAGATTGCAGTAGAAACTAAACACCAAACACACTTCACCTTAAAAACATAAGTGAGGAAAACCATCAAACATCTTAAGGACACGATACAATGTAGCTCAGGAAGTTTAAGATTCAAAGAAGATGAAAACTTGCGGGAAACATACAAAAGCAGAACACAAGAGAGTAATTTCAGAATTCGAGCAGAGTATCTGAGAAACTTGGGATGATTTTGCAGATTCAAGATACAAGTTTTAACATCAAGTTTACAATCTTTGCATAGATTCACACAGTTGTTTTGTATAAACATAAGAAGATATTTTTTTTTTTGTGTTTTGGTGAGATGTGATTGAAAAGAAAAACCTATGATCCAGCGATGGGCTGCAACTATCATCTGCATCCTCCATGGTTTTTAGAAGATGCCACCACCAAGATTTTCTTCTTCCAGAACCCAGAAATAAGTTTTGTTGTTGTTGTGATGAAAGTCATTATGATGTCTAGTGTCCGAATATTCGTTCATTAAAAAAATTCAAATGTTCTGTTTAGAAAGAAAGGAGAAAAGCAAATCTATGTTCTCAACCAGAGGCGACTGCAATTCACGGCCTGAGCTGGCGAGCAACCGATGGATCATGACTGAGGCCGCACGTGCAACGGCGCGTGAGCTAAAGAAAAAGACATTAAACCGCGTTATGTTCCCACGTGGGAGTGAGACTTTTGTGGGTCCTCACGTTTAAACTTAACACGTCAGCAACTTTAACCTGTCTGCTTCCATAATGGGCCTTTTTAGTGAAATTAGTTGGGCCTCTTTAAACACCCAAAAAGAATCCACGCCGTTGTTACAAGAGGAATCCGTTAAGGATCAAATTAACAGTTTTGCGATTGACAAACGTCAAAACAATTTCGTTTTTTAGCGATTTTTAAAATTAAATTCTGTAACAACGGATCCTTTAAAATTAAAATCAAATTAACTATTTTTTTTTGGTGTAAAAAATTCTGTAACTTTTTTTTTGAATAACGGAAAAAAACATAGTGCCATTCTTTTTTTTTTTTTGCCAATCACATAGTGCGATTCAAAAGTTCAAAACTGATGACGATTAAAAATTTTTGTGATATAACTCTCACCTAAAAATTAATTACGCAAAGAAAGAACCCCTGTTCTAAAAATCCCCGCCTAGCCCCGATTACTCCCCGCTTAATCGCTAGGCCCACCCTATCCGCCTCGATTAATGACTAATCCCCTAAAAAATCAGTAACCCGATTATTCTCCGCCTAATCCGATTACTTTCCGCCTAATCTTATATACCCCGATTATTTTTTAGATTGCAAGTATAAAAAAAACTTTTTATTTTTGTTATTCAATCATTTGAATGGAGAGTTTGTGATGTTTTACAATAACTTGTGTTCAAATTTTAATAAAAATCATAAATTTGTAATAAAAATCATAAATTTTTACAATATTGGATTAATATATTTTAAAAATATTAAAATAACCCTAAAACTAATCCCCGATTAATCCCCGATTTTAATCCGATTTTCCGATTAATCGCTAGGCCCATGCCGAGCGCCCGACTAGCGCCTAGCGATTTTTAAAACAAGGGAAAGAACCGTGTCAAAAATCAAACAGAGACAACTAACTAACTACTACCAAACTCAAGTTATTACTTATTAGTTATTACACATCCGCACGTGTCCGTAACACAACTCTCACTGTAGTCACGTGCACACTTTCTACTAGATAAACCATTTCTACGTAGGCAAAAAAACTATAATTACACACAGGTTATCTATGGTTTTACGATCCGATTCCGAGTCTTTGACCAGATACATCACACTGTACCGGAGCTAAACCGATTCTTGATCTCTGTAGATCAAATTCGATCCACATGTTCTGCTGATGATGGTGTCCAATCACGTATGCTTCCATTCCCATAAGATCGGAGTTTCCAAATGTGAAACAATAAACCGAATCGTTCCCAGCCGTGAGATGTGGGACTCGGTATAATAGTGGCTGACCCGAAACCGCTATCTCAGCTCCTTCGAAAACCAGAGAAACCGTTGGTAACCGGTGGAGAATCCCGGTCCGAATCCGAAACGGTGAAATCCGGTAGCACAAATCCATGGTTCCTTGGAAAACAAACTCCGGGTCTTCGTAAACCGTTAAGATCCCGTTTGTCTGGTTTAAGAAATCAGATCGAAGAGCGGTGTAAACCGGTCCAAGCAAGAAAGTAAACTGAGTACCGGAATCAACCATGGTTTGACCAGCACCGGTGTGATCCGGTAGGAGGACCGATTTAGGGATGGGTAAAAGCTTACCGTTAACTTTAATTCCCGTGAGCTGGACGGTGTAAGCTACACGGTCGAAGTAAGGTAACGGCGTGGAGATCCGGATTAACGGCGTGTAATTTAACGGCGTTAACCACGTGAAATTAGAGTCGCCGAGGAGAAGAAACCCCGGGAAATCGTCGGTGCCGGAGATGCAATATGAGAATTTGGGGAAACCCATCTGAGAGATGAAAGAGAGGGATCCACGGTTCATACCCAATAACCCGGTTGTTTTGGTGTCTTCTTCCGGGTCGGATCCGGATACGGATCCCATACACCCGAAAATGAGGTTGGAGTCGTTGGTCGAGTTTCCGAAGTGGAAAATCTCGGCGGCGAGGTTACCTTCGGAGGAGGAAGCGTCAGCGTAGGAAAGAGTTGCGTGGCAGAGTTTGTCGGAATCGCAGGAAGCGGGTATGAGGAAGTCTCGGGTTCGGGTCCGACAAGTGGGTGAAGAACAGGGGATTGGAGAATAAGAGGAAGAACGGGTCGGGTCGAAATTGTTAACCGGGTTTGGGTTTGAGGAACGGTTGCAACGAAGCCAGGAGAGTTCGCTGCCAGTGTCAATGACCATGGAGATGTTTTGAGGAGGAGTACCGACGGTGAGAGTAACAGTGAGAGTGACGTTGTGGTGGAAATGAAGTTTGTCGGTGGGTTGATGATCCGTTGGGGTTATTCGGGTCTTTAGAGGCAAAACAAGAGTTTGAGAAGAAGATGAAGAAAATGAAGAAAACGAGAAAGAAGAAGAAGAAGAAGAGTCACATTTATAGGTTCTTATTGAAAGAATTACAAGGAGAAGAAGAAGAGGAAACAGAGCATGGAATCTTGAGAACATGATGAGGATATATTGATATTGTAAGTTTGTGTTTCTTGCCAAGAACTGAGTTTGTGTCTATGAAGAAGAAGAAGTATAGAAGAAGTGTAATTTGGTGCAAGTTCACTGAACATCAATGAGATGTTTGTTCTTTTCAGCTGGAAAAAATATCTCTGTTTCGTTTTCTTTTTCTTCCTTGTAAATAATAAAGATTTTTTCATTAATTGATATAGAAAAAAAATAGCTTTCAAATAGTATTCTGCAAATATATTATCTATCACTGTCATAATTTTCTTATATTAATTGTATTTTTGACTTTCAAATTTATTATTTTAGTTTTAATAAATGTAAAAAGAAACAAATGCATTTTGGTCATGAATAATTATATTAAATTAAAAAACTCGTTGATATTTTAAATGAAAAATTAATCTACAAGAGTAAAATACTGAGCATATATAATGACATGAACTAATCAACTACTCCCTCTGTTCCTATATATTTGATGTTCTAGAATTTTAGTTTGTTCCACAGAGTTTGATTTTTAGGTTTTTGTTTTATTTTTTATTGATTAAAATTAATATATCGTAAACTTCAAGACGTAATGATTAACTGTTTTCTAATACTATTGGTTCAAATTTATTAAAAAATGTTTATTATAAAAAAGTAATTGACAAATAGTTAAACAATGATTACTTCTTAATATATATGAAATCTCTAAAACATCAATATTCTAGAAACGGAGGGAGTATGTAAGAAATTTTGAATAGTCTGGTGATTTTTAATGTGAGTGGTACAGTAGAAGGCTCGAAGCTCAAGGCAAATAATTAGGGGAATGATTTTAATATTATTAATAAATCTCTTTATTAGGTTGAATTTGTTACTATTAAACTCAAAAATTTAAGCTTACACTTCCGTTTATAAAAAAACGCTCAAAGCATGTGGTGTTTACCTTGGTTTCGTCAATGGATTTGCCATGGGAGTTCGGGCGGTGCGGGTAATACAGATTGACCCATTTATATACCCCGAGTCTACTGTTTTCTCCATATTTTAAAACTACTTAAGGTTCTAATCATCTTTTCGAACTACTTCTTGGGAGTCTATATATATCAACGACTTTGTAATATACATCGTAGAGTTTGGATCCCATGTTTAGATGTCAGAACTTTAATTTTCAGGTAATCATTATATTTTGCCTTTTCCCAAAACCATTTGAACCCAAGAATAGACCACTAAATAAAAGAATAAAGGAGCTGTAAGATGAACTAATGAACTAATGTTTTGCTTTTGGGAAATGGAATAAAAATGGATGAAAAGAAAAATCGAGTTTGAAGATGTGACATTCACATGGAAAAAGACTTTTGAAAATTGAGAGGTATGGTTGCACATGTTGTTTGCCTTGCTGTTTTAAGGACAAAGCCCTATCATTTATGAGTTTGGGTCCATTCTTATTGAATCCTGCTCCAAATCAGGATACCTTCACTTACCAATCAACTTCTTCTCACTTGCCCACTAGCTAGCTCGTGTGACACATTGCTTTGAATTCACTTTATGTTAGGTTTTAGATTGTACTATGTAATTATATCTTATATTATTTTCAAACTGTATTGAAATATACCTAATTGCTGACCAATACGTTAGGAAACGTCTATTCTGATCACCTATAATGTCGATTCATTGAGTGGGGTTCGTCTCTGCGAGAAGTTTTAACGCAAACTCAGGGAACATATCAGTGGTCTAAGTTTAAGAAGTTTATTGATGATTGCAGCTCAAAACCAAGCGTTTCAAAGGTTTTAGGAGTTATGATTGTATGTGGATTATCGTCGTTTTATTTGCAAAATATAACGATTTCATGATCTAATAGATAACAAACGATTGCAAGTGAGTACAATTTAGATGCAAGACAAGTATAAAAAGTAAAAATTGAGAGACATAAAATTTTATTTTGGAATAATCTCCTAAACGAAAATAAAAAGTGGATAAATCTTAAGTTTTTGTTAAATCCAAATCATAATACATATGACAGATACATTGTTATGAATTTAAAATTGAAATGAAGAAGTATATGTGGTTTTATCTCGGCTTGTTTTCTAAAATAAACAAAATCTGAACCAAAACTGAAGAAAAACTAGATAATATATAAACATTAATTAGAACACAACACACCTAATTAAAACGCCATCTAAATTTCAGTTAATCATGTCATTTGGTTGGCTAATCTTGAGATAGCCGAGTAAGTACCACAACAACCACTCACCAACCCGAAGAGTATAATGAATATGCATAATCCAATCTGAACAAATAAAACACACACAAAAAATAAAAATGGTTAAAGACTACTAAAATTCTCAGGGAGTCAAATAATTTTTTTTTTTTTTTTTTTACATTTAGCTAAGTTAGGTATGTTCTTACTTGTGTGTTGCTTAATTTACCCTTGAGGATACTGAGATAACATAGACATGGGAAGATAAGAGCCTGCAAACCAAAAAAAATGAATATCCGTGGATTTGATCAATTTTTACCTTTTTAGTTTTAAGTTTTTTTTTTTTTGCGATGGAAGAACTTACCACAAGCATTGCAAGGAACGATCCGATTAGTGCTGCCACGATCGCTGTAATTGAGAAAATTCGATCAGAGAAGCTATGGTGGGATGGGTTTCTTGCATAGGAAGTTAAAGATACATAGAGACATTACCGAAGAAAGGAACTGAAAGAGCAACCACCAAAGTAGATGTAACTAGGGCTGTTCTGAATAATATCGATACACCATGTGATTTCATCTTAGCTGTTGGAATGAGTTCTTCGAGACTCATAACGATTGGGGTGATTGTTAACGCGTATTTTGTCATTGGTGTGATGACCTAAGAGATTGATGAAAATCATTTTCTGCTAATACAAGTATAGAACTATATAGGGTACCGAGAATAGAAGAGAATGATATATTTTACCGCTGTCCAGACTGCGACTTTAGATGGAAAGAAGTGTTTAGGCATGTTTAATGTGAATTGTGATTCGACTGCTTCACCAAACATGGTGTAGCCGCAGACCGCAACAGCTATGTACAAGACCGTGCAGAAACTAAAGCTGCATACGAAAGAAGGATGAGTATGGCTATTAGGGTTCCTTGCGAAACAAGTGAGGAGAGTTTTCTTGGACTTACCAGATGACTAAGACAAGAGGAAACCTTGAAGGATCCTTCATGGAAGAATAGATATTGGGAAAAACCGAATGACCCGAGTAACCAAACCCGAAAATCCCTATAGTGACAGGTAAGTTACTAAGATCGAAAACTCGTCCTGTTGCATGGAACCCTATTCCATCAACCAAACCGACCCAGAAGAGGCAGAGACCGAGTAAGATTGACGCTAAGACTCCTCCAACTAGATAATTAAGACCACAAGAACGGTCCATTAAATATATATATAGCCAATGAGGAGATAACCAGAGAGATTTCAAAGGGAAAATTCAAACCTGAAAGGTAAGAAAGCAAGCTAAGATCTTTAAGCCAGACTGTTGGAAGAACAAGAAGAGTGGTTAAGATTGCAAAGATCTGAGGAGAATCTAGAGATATCCCTGAAGCAATGCTCAATGAAACGTTTGGGAATAGTCCTGATAAGTTGTCGCTCATCATGATTATGTATTCCACACAAGCTGCCTATTTTTGAAAACCAAAGTTACGATTAACCATAAATTGTCAACATTTAATGGAAGAATTTAGACAATAATATTTAACAATAACGAAGATGAAACTTACGTACAACTCCACGTATAGAAGAATCTGCAATTCAAGAAACAGAACAAGAACCGCAGTTTCAGTTTTCAAGAAACAGAATTTTTTGATAATTGAGTTTGATTGATCAGAAACTTACGGATATGATGAAGCGACCGGTGATTCCAAAGGCGGCTTGACCGATATCGGGGTAAGTTTGAAGACCAGGAGAACTTTCTAGACATCTCTTCATGAGAACACCTGTGTAGCAAGTGATGACTCCGAAGAACAAGAGTATTACCAAACCAAGCCATCCACTTTCTTTTATAGCATAAGGCATTGTTATTAACCCTAATCCACACAGTACATTGGTTCCTGCAAATAAAAATGATGTGAAACATGATTTTACTACTTATCTACTAATCAAAACATTCATCAAGTTCTACTATTTTATTATTCCCCTATTTATGAGACAGAGCAATCATCATTTTACCGTTGAGGATGGATTGAGAGAAGGAGCAGAGGTTAGGTTCCGGTAATGGAAGATCGGTGACAGAGAGCTTGAGCTGAGATTGAGGTAATATCGTTTCTTCTTTGTCGGAAACTGTTTGAGAGAGAAGTGGTTTGCTTGAAGAAGAAGAAAACGAATCGACAAAAGAAGATTGTTGCTTCTTGTGGAAGGAAGAGGCTAATCTCCGGGAACTGCTACGAGGCATGAAACTCACCGAAGGTGGAGTCATTCCGGTCAACAGATCCATTGATTGTCTGAAACAAATTCATCTGAAAAATGTCTGAACTCTTGTAATCCAAGAGAATTCGAAAATTAAAAAACAGAGGAAATTTATGATTATTTTACCGATAGCTTTGTGGCCATGGAGGATTCGAAACATCAGAGAGATTGTTATCAGAACGATCTCGAGATAACGGAGAGGAGGAATCTGAATTCGCTCCGTCTCTCTTACCATCGTTGTGTTCATCGTCTGAACAAGCAAGTTCTGCTTGATTTTCCTCGTCATCTGTGAGAAACGAATGGTCTCTGTCGTGTAAGAATTCTTCGTCGAGTTTCATCGTCCTCCTATGTTTTCTCAAATCTCAAAGAAACGCACAAGAAATGTGCAGAGAGAGAGAGAGAGAGAGATGGAGAAAGGGAGAGATAGACGGAGAACAACGGGATTTTGTTTTCCGGCGAGTCAAAGAGATTTCTTCTATATATGGAAACATATCAATGGAGAGAAAACTATTTTATGTTTTTTAATATTTGTTTCCTTATGTTTTTAATTGCGGTGTAGATTTGATGCCGACGATATTTTTAGGATTCTACGAATTTCCAAAAATATGATTATCGTTCTTTTCTTCTTTCTCTGTTGACTAACTTCCAAAACTGTGTTAATCCATCAATGCAAGTGTTACCTCCAGTCCCATTTTCCAAAATATTCTCTTATTTATTAGTTTTTAATGAGCAAGCGAAAAAAAATGAAGACTAAAATTGAGTAAAATGGACTAAAACTAGGGTTTATGAATAAATACCAAAAAAAATAAAGTTGGTTTATTTCACACAAAAAAAATAATGGTTTATCAAAAACCGGTTTTATTCAAGGTATACCATCCGGTTTATTCCTTCGAATATACTTATTCTGCAAAACCAGTTAGGTCATCTCGCCGATTAATCTGGCGATTGCAGAGTAAGTCCCGCAACAACCGCTCACAACGCCTATGATCACGATTAAAATACAAATTCCGATCTGAAAAATCAAAAACCCTTTTCAATCAAAATTTTCTGTGAATCATTGACAATGAAAAAAAAAAAAAAAAAGATTATTAACTTTTTAATTATATTATTCTTACTTGAAAGTTAGTTAATCTACCCTTCATAATGCTGAGATAACAGAGACACGGGAATATTAACGCCTGAGAAGACCAAAACCGAAATCGTCAAGAACGTGTTTTGATCGTTCTTATTATAGAGATTGATTTGTTATTGAAGACTTACGATAAGCATTGCGATAAAAGATCCAATCAGAGCCGCAACGGTAGCTGCAATTATCGTTGTTACATTAACGAGTTTAATCACATGTTATTGTTTTCTAGAATTCTTGAGCAAGAAGTTAGGTTAATGGGGGAAGTGAGAGAGATAGATTACCGAAGAATGGAACTGTGAGTGCAACGACCAAAGTGGAGAGAACTAAGATGGTTCTAAAAAGCATAGAGACACCTTTGGATCTCATCTTTCTTGACGAAGACGGTATGAGTTCTTCTAGGCTTAGCATCACTGGAGTAATCGTCAGAGCATATTTCGTCATTGGTGTAACGACCTAATTAACAAAACAAAAAAGTGCGAAAGGAATTGAGAAAATTATTGTGAACAGAATATGAAGAAGGTATGAGATTTTTGATTTTGGAAGGTTATCTAACCGCTGTCCAGACTGCGATTTTAGACGATGTGAAATGTTGAGGCATGTTCAGTGTAAATTGGGATTGAATCGCTTCACCAAACATCGTGTATCCACAAACCGCTACGGCGATGTAGAATAGAGTGCAAAACGCAAAACTACATAACGCAACAAACATATATTTCAAGAAATGAGAAGGATGAAAATTAGACCTAGAGGTTTCTTGCATTTTAAGCAAGGTCTGTTTTACCTGATGAGAAGCACCATAGGAAACTTGGAAGGTTCTTTCATGGATGAGTAAATGTTGGGGAAAACAGAGTGACTCCCGAAACCGAACCCGTAAATTCCAATGGCGACAGGTATGTTAGTTATATCGAGAGCTTGTCCGCTTATGTGAAATCCAACCCCGTCGACTGATCCAGCCCAAAAGAGGGAAAGCGCAAGCAAAATTGAGGAGAAGACACCTCCGGCTAAGGAAACAAAACATTTCTTAGAATTAATTAAAGAGATCAAATCTCATAGCTAATTGTGCCAGTTACAAGATGAACCTGAGAGATAGGACAACAAGCTGAGGTCTTTGAGCCAGACAGTAGGAAGAACAATAAAAGTCGTGGTAATGGCGAAAACTTGATTAGAATCTAAAGAACATCCGTTGATGTATAAAGAGGTATTTGGGAACATCCTTGACAAATTATCACTCATCATAATTATGTATTCCACACAAGATGCCTACAAAAACAAAAACAGAATTTTCCAAAGTTAGGATCTAAAGTTCTTACATCAAGATATAAAGAGAGTTTGATACTTACGTATAACTCCACGTAGAGCAGTATCTGATATGTAATTCAAAACACAAAGTTAGGATCACAATTCACACACAAACAAAGTTATGATTGATTTGAAAAAAAAATCCTTACAGAGACGAGGATGCGTCCAGTAGTACCGAATGCAGCTTGACCGATGTCCGGATAAGTGTGGATTCCAGGTGAATTCTCGAGACATCTCTTGAGGAGAATGCCTGTGTAGAAAGTGATAATGCCAAACGAGAAGAGTATGAAAAGCCCTAACCATCCTCCTTCTTTCAATGCGTAAGGCATTGTAAGTAAAGCTACTCCACATAGAACATTGATTCCTGCAACAAAGAAAATGTTCACATTAGCAATCCTAATACACAAGATATACTAAACTCAGTACCTCCATATCAGATTTTGTTAAAACTCCGAAAACCGAGAAGACCTAACCAAAAATCAAATTGAAACATTCCTAACTACTATAATTACCGTTGAGAACGGATTGAGAGAATGTGCAACTGCGGTTTTCTTGGGGAGTTAAAAGATCCCCCGGGACTGATAGCTGGAGATGAGAAGCAAGAAATGAATTGATGGATGACATAACAGAGTTATGGATCTCATCTTTGTCGATGAGAAGTTGCTGTTTGCTTGGGGAAGAAGTAAATGAACCGAAAATAGAGATTTGTCGTCTCTGGCGAAACGAAGAGACAAAACTTGTACTGATTGGAGGTGTAACTCCGGTCAACAAATCCATAGACTGTCTGAAAATATCCCCAAGTAAACAAAAATATTATCTCTAAAGAATAATTTCTTCAGATCTCTTACAAAAACAGAGCATTTAAAAAGAAAATGATTTACCGATAACTTCGAGGCCACGGAACGGGAACGTTATCGGATCCATTACGAGATAAAGGAGTTGACGGAACGGAGCTCTCGGTTTGACTTTCTTCGTCTTCCTCATCTGCGTGATACAAATCTTCCCTTTCTTCATCGACTGTCTCGTGTTGCTTCATCTATACTTTGTATTCTACTGTGACTCTGTTTCAAAAACCAACAAATAGTCTAATAAGAAGAAGAAAGGAGAAGAAGAAGAAGAAGATTGAGAAGAAGCAAATAGGGGACGCAACGAAACGTGTTCTGTTTTCAAGTTCTAAATTATTGTCACGTTTCTTTATCTCCTTTAATTAGCACGTCTCTTTACCTATGATGCTGTCTCCCTGATTTTTTTTTGCCATATTCTTTTTTGTATTAATAAACAAATTCACGATTTTCCTATTATTCCACCAATAAGATAAATTTAATAATGCCTCATTTAGAAGCCATGGGATGGATACATACTTCACAACAAAATAATTTGGAACATAAACTTCTTGTGGTTGTGGATATGTAATTTTATACTATCATTTAACTTTTTTTTTTTTTGATAAATATCCACAAGAAGTTTGTTTATGTTCGAAATTGGGCAAATTAAAAGAAAAAGTACTCTGAACATAAAATTCTTGTGGATGTTTATTTAATATCATTAACTTTTGAAAAACAATTAAAAGAAACTTCTACTCTGACGCGTAAGGTTCATTTATAAATTTTTAGTTTTTATACAAACGTTTCTGGCGAGGTTATTTATAAAACACAGAAATAAAGACGTAATGAAGATTAGGTATGCATGTGATGTAAGAAGTCAATGACAGTTGGTCCTTAATTGGCCATTAAATGTTTTTAAGATTTTGTTAGGATTTGCCAGCACTAGATTATTGTTCGTCTTGGCAATTTTGGTTACAGTCTCTAATTACTTATCCAGCATTTAGATATTTTTAAGACGTTTGGGTCTTGGTCTACAATTTCGAATACAGTATACAATTACAATAATACTCAAGACAATTTCTTACAGAACAAGAAAGCAAATAAACTTACAATTAAAATTATATATCCATCCATCTCCAAGCAACCATTGATCATTCCAAGCTATCTTCTCTTGCAGAGGTATATTGTAGAGAAGAAGAGGAATAAAAAATGGAGCTTTTACATAAATATGAAGACTCTCTTATGATTTATCAATCTGGTTAAGCTTTCCCAGTCCATTGCAGTTAGCACAAACGATCTGAGGAAGATCCTTGCGTGCTGCATTCGCTCTCAGAGTCACTCCTCCTTTCCTCACAAATCCTGCTCCGTCACATTCCGGACACCTAAACCATACATTTTCATAGCTTAATTTCACAATGTACGATCTCTCTTTCGGTTTACTACATCGGTTAAGAGTTTATCCATAAGAGAGGATTTAGTACGGTTAAGATAACTCGAATGTTGAACCGGACAATAAACTATGGGAATCTTCTGCAATTAATCAGTCCAATTTTGGTTTAACGAGCATTAAAACCGGTTTAATTCACAAGACATATAAAAAGATGAGAGTGGTTTACGTGTCTTTGCGTTTGAAGAGGATCGGAAATGCAGTTCCGACGAGTGCAACGGCGATGGCTCCGCCGATTAAGTAGATTGTTCCGTCAGAAGAGACATCACCGACGGCGGCGACAACTACGGAGGAAGACGATCTCTTGTTTTTGGGAAGAATCACATTGTTCGGTGATGATGATGATCCCCACGAAGAAGAATGTTTCAGGAAGTTGGTCGATGACACGAACGTCGTCTGCATTGTCGGTGCGATCGCCATGATTTAGGGTTTTTAAGTGACTGATTTCGATTTGGGGGAAGTAATAAGAAGATGTGAGATTTGATTTATGGAAAAGATTTTTTTGAATTTGGATTTGCATCGTGACGTGTCACTCTCTCGAAGTGGATAACGTTTTCAAGTTAAGATTTTTTTTGTTCTGTGGATAACGTGGGCCCCTTCAAGATATTTCGAGTTGAAGATTGGGCCTGTTAAGCCCATTACTAGGTAAACGTGAATATTAGGCCCACCCAAGCTATTTGTAATTGTCTCCGACTTTCTTTGACAGAGTCTCTTCTTCCGTTGCTTCAATGGCGAAAGACGGACCTAACTGGGACGGTCTGCTTAAATGGAGTCTCTCTCACTCCGATGGTACTCGACCTACTCGCCAGTTAAGGTACGAAGTTTCTTTATAATTTCAGGTTTTGTTGATCACTTATAGTGGAGCTTATGTTGTTTGTTGGGTTGTCGTAGACATTTGTGTGGTTCTGCGTCAGTTGCTGATGAGGAATGAATCATGTAGTGGAATTTGAGTTTTGGGTTCGTATAAATTAGAGTTTTTTTAGGGATTTCTGTGAAAGCTTATGTTCATACTCTTAAGCAAAGAAACTGTTATAAGTTGAGCAATACAAGGTCTAAACTTTCCCTGAGTTCCCACATTATCTAATGAATCGTTTGGTTAGATTTTAATATAAACTTTTTCTTTGTTTTGTTGATTTGAAATTGTTTGGTTTGACAGTGAGGAAGATCGAAAATGGTTTGCAGAGGCTATGCAGTCGCAAACAGTAGATGTAGTCAAGCGCTTGAAGGAGATAACACAAGTATTGCAGACACCTCAACAAGTTTTGGAGGCTCACCAAGTAACCCCTCAAGATATTGAAGGTTGAATATGGAATTCATAATTGTTTTCTTAGCTATTTTCTCTCTTGTTGGTTACTAAGATTTTGAGTTATGTGATTTGGTAGGTTTGCTGGATGAGTTGCAGGAACATGTTGAATCAATTGACATGGCTAATGGTGAGTCTTTTCATACTTGTAACTTTTTTTCTATATCTGTCTTTTGATTGCTTGGCTTAACATGTACTTCTTTGAATGTATGGGAAGATCTTCATTCCGTTGGAGGCTTGGTACCTCTTCTTGGCTACCTCGAAAACTCCAATGCTAATATTCGGGCTAAGTCTGCAGATGTCATAAGCACAATAGTTGAGAACAACCCTCGGAGTCAAGAATCAGTTATGGAAGCCAATGGTTTAGAGTCATTGCTTTCGAACTTTACTTCAGACACCGATATGCATTCTCGAACACAGGCGCTCGGTGCAATATCATGTAAGCTGCTCTGAGTCCTAATATACTTAGATGATCAAATGCCTCTTTTTTTTTACTCTGTGTATGGTAAATCTGATGAATGTATTGTGGTAAATTGGGGTACAGCTTTGATTCGCAATAATAAACCCGGGATCACAGGTTTCCAGATTGCAAATGGTTACTCTGGTTTAAAAGATGCTTTGGAAGCTGATAGTGTGAGATTTCAAAGGTAATACTCTGCACTTCTCTTCATGCTTGGATTCCTTTGAGCTTCGAGAGAACTCACGGTTGTAAACTTTGTTCCGCTGTTGGTAATTTTCAAAACTTTTTCCGTTGCTTTCTTATTCTTCAGGAAAGCCTTAAACTTGTTGCATTATCTTCTACAAGAGAATGACTCAGACTCCGATATTGCTATAGAACTCGGGCTTCACCATTTGATGATGCACCTCGTGTCTAGCTTCGATGCTGATGTAAGAGAAGCTGCTCTTCGAGGATTGCTTGAGCTCGTGAAAGCTAGAAAAGACTGTAGTACTTGTGGTTCTAGCATAGTGAAAGGCGATGAGACACTGAGACAGATGCTAAAAGATCGGATCAAAGCAATCGGCTTGTTTATGTCACAAGAAGATCTCTCAGCTGCTAAAGAGGAGAGACAGCTCTTAGATTCACTATGGACCACATTCTACAACGAACCTTCTTCTCTTTAGAGAGAAAGGCTTCTCTGTTCTTCCTTATATCGTGAGTAAGCGCTAAAGGATGGTTAACAACTTTATAATGATCAAATTTTGATTCGATTTTCAGTTCAAATTTCCTCATTTTCTCATTCAATAAACTAAAAACCAGACCGTACAAATACCAAATCAAGCAACTGCATGATAAACATAACAATACAAACCCCAAAAGCTCACTTTGGAGGACAGAAAGTGATAACATAACGAGAAGCCCTACACTTATTCAAACTACTAGAATCATCAAACGCATAACTATAAGCCTTAGGACAAATCGCTTTAAACAGATTAGCGAACAGAGTCGGCTTACACGCCTGAGGATTCGCATATTCTCCGGTACAACAGTACTTAGCCGATTGCATCGCCAAGCAAGCACTTTTGCAACCAACCACTTTACCATCTCTCTTAACTTCCAAAGCCGATGGACAACAAATATTCAAATTCACTTCACAAGCCGCAACACCACATCCAACTCCACCGCCGATTGGTTTCATCGACACAGGGAGATTGAATCCGTCGACGAGACTTACGTCGTAGAAATGAAGCGGCGAGGAAGATGAGCCTAATGTCATTTCCACGACGGTTGCTGGTGGTACACCGCCGGTTCCTTGGCAATTGAGTGAACCGCCGTTGCAATCTCCGGTTTGGCATGAGCCTTTTCCGTTTTGGTTAAAGGTGCAGCCTTGTCGACCCCAGATTCGTCCGGACCATTTATCCGGTACGTCTATTATGGTTTCTTCGCCGCTTCCCATGTGGAATCCGCCGTTTCTCGGTGTGATTTGGCCTCCGCCGCCGAGGATTCCTGGCCATATGCTCTCCTGGCAGTTATTCACTAATATAAGCTGAGCTCCATCTGCAAAAGAAGTAAAAGACTCAATTTTTACGAACTTTAACAACAACAATAACCGTTTTGTCAAATAAATTAAAGATGCCATTTTTATGCTTTAAAGAGAAAAAAATGAAATTTTGAAGTGGACCCATTTGAGATATCGTATCGTACCAGTGAAGGAGGAGGATAAGAAGGCTGAGATAGTGAAACAGAGAAGGAAGAGAGTTGCAGATTTCGCCATTGTTGTTGTTGTTGTTGTTTGTTGTTGTGTGGGGATATGTCACACTCTAAAGTTTGCTTTTTGTGATAATTTTCAAGAGAATATTAATAGAGGAATATGGAGGACGTCGTGGTTGAGGAAGAAGTGGAAACTTGGGTTGCAAGACTAATTGGTGTGGTGAAGTGGATTGTTGTATAGGGAACTGCCAAGTGCTCACCTTTTATAAGCTGAGACTTTCATGGGATTAGTGGGAAAGAGAAAGATATGGAGGCTTGATTGTGAGCCTTCTATAAAGATATATTTATACTTTTTCGTTTTATGAATGGGTTAAAGTTGGATTTAAAGAAAAAGAGAAAGATTCATATGTCTCTCACCGTTTATTATTGGATAAAGATTAACAATACTCATAGATTTCATTTCTTAAAGGCAAATTTGTTTATAATTTACAATCCATAACCAATTTTCAGACCTAAAATCTCATTGTCAAAATTTGTATGTCATATGTTTTTTTTGTCAAAAATTATCTTATATGTTTATTTATGCGTCTAATCTTCACCACTTGCTAGTAAGTAGCCTGCCTAGTATGTCCCAACATTTCTTACCTTTGCTATGACCTTTTTCACTTTGTAGATCAAATCAGGACAGAGCATATATGCATTACTTCAATGAGAGGATTTGCTTTGTTTTTAAACAAAGGTTATATTTGCACAAAACAAATCATTACATTCTTCTTTTAGTGTCCTTATCAATTTTTTGTTAGTTTTGAAAGGTAATAATAGAGATTGAAGCCAAGAATGTCACTAGACACTAGACTTGCTTTTTATAGCAGGTGGGAAGGTTGAAGTTTTTGGTGGATAGGTATCTTGCAAGACATATATAATAGAACTAAAATCTGGTTTACAAAAAAATACAAAAAAAAAAAAAAGAACTAAAATCTTGGTCCCAAAAATAAAATTATTTATAAAGTAAGAAATATAAAGAGTGAATTTACAAAATGACAAAGAACAAGATTTACAAAAATGAACATATACAACAATGGGCTAAATTCTTAAAAATTAATAAAATAAAAAAACATAACTCTAGAGGAAGTTTTGGTTTATTGGTTATCACAAAACCAAACCAATTTTAATTCAAACTATACCGATTGAAATTGGTTACTCCTAGTGACGGCGAGGAAGAGCTCCGACGTTTCCCAGAGTTTACCATAAAACCTTTCTTCTGAGTTCTGTCTGAACAAGACAAGAAAAAAGAGTAAATTGAGCGATTATGATTCGCGCGGCTACCAAAGTTTCAAGAGCAGCAGCGGCAACGATTCGTGGCCGCACGATCTCCGTTAGAGGAAACCTTATTAGATACTCGACGCCACTGAGATTGATTCACGGTGAAATCAGTGTTCCAAACGCGAATCATGTTGCTATTCAGATGGTTAATTACGCTCTTTCACACGCTAGGTCACAAAAATCAGGTCTTTCTCTATAGTTCTAAGGATTTTTAGGTGTTTAAACTCTAGTTTCTTCTGACTGAATTCGAAATGGGTCTTTGTCTGAATTTGCAGATGAATCTTATGCTCAAGGGATGTTAGTGCTTGAACAGTGTCTTGAGAATCAACCTAACGATGATCAGGTTTCTCATGATTCTAAAGCAACAGTCTTGCTTGCCATGTCTGATCTTTTATACGAAAGGTTTCATCTTTTTTACTATTTTTCTCTCTTGTTTTGTCTTTCAATAGGTAGCTTAAGATTTCTGAAAACGTATTAGTGTTTGGTTTTCTATGTTTATAGTGGGAACAGTAGTGAAGCCATTGAACGCCTTAAGCAAGTCATGACTCTGACACATTCATCGTTGGCTATTAGAGGTTTTTGTTGTGAACTTGATTTTTTCGCTGTGGTTTTGGAGAGTCTTTTGTGGTTTTATGTATCTGAAACTCTCTTTTGTTGTGCAGTTGTTGCTGTGGAAGCTCTTGTTGGTCTGCTGATTCAGTCAGGACAGGTTCAAATCCTAACAGTGCTACTGTGTTTGTGTGTGTCTCTATATTTAGGAACTTGTGTGAGAAATTTGAATATGTTTTTACTGTTAGGATGATGCTTCATTAGATGTTGCTGACGAATTTCTGGAATTGGTAAAAGAGAGTGGCCATGAGAATCTTCAAGATGTGGTTGCTACAGCTAAAGCAATCAAAGGCCTAGCTGAGCTTGTGAAAGGAAATATTGAATCTGGTAGAGAAACAAGCCTCAACCTCTCTTCTCTCTGTTTTTTATTCCGAAGTAAGTTTAATGGTAACGATTTTGGATGCAGCCGAATCTTTATTTCGAGGACTTGAGAATCATGAGAGCTGCAAAGGTACACACTAGTCTTTTTCTGTTAGTCTGGAGCTAGCCTTGTCTTTTATATGTTGGAACCTGATCGTTGGGTATTCTTAATAACTACATAAAATAGGTAACATTGCACTTTCTTATGGTGAATTCTTGCACGCCACTGGAAATTTTGAACTGGCAAAGGAGATGTATCATATGGCAATTCAAGGAGTGACAGAGACCAAAGTATCTATGTGTTCATGTAACATGAATTTGAAGGCAGTCTCGCTGGCAGCCACATTTGCTCTGGGTCAGCTCGAGTCACACATTGGGTAGGCTTTTCAGCTTGTGCATACAGGTCCTAGTGTGAATTTTCTGGTTATATCATTAGTCCCTGTTTGTTTTTGCTTTTGTTAGAAACTTTGGTGTTGCGGAGAAGACACTGACAGACGCATTGACAAACGCTGAGGAACATTATGGTACTGTGTGTGTAGTGCGGATTTTTGGTCATCGATTCTCAATGGTTAAAGCACCAGAGTAACGGATTCTGCGCTTTTATCATCCTTAATTCTATCAGGAAACAATCATCCTAAGGTTGGTGTGATCTTAACTGCTGTGGCTCTGATGTATGGAAACAAAGCAAAGCAAGAACGCTCAAGTTCTATTCTGATTCAGGAGGTCAGAAACAAGTTTCTTATAAAACTCAAAAGCATTGGAATTTCGTCATCTTAATGCCCATTATTTTTCATCTCAGGGCCTCTTCAGGAAAGCATTGGAGCTCATGAAAGCACCTCCACTGGATTCAGAAGGTACTTACAGACATCTATCTACTTTGCAGGTTATCGAGAAAAAAGACGATTTTCCTCACCATTTTTTCTGTATTCTATAGGGATAATTAACATGGAAAATCAAGGAGTAATGGCTTTAGCAAGAGGTAAGCTTTAGCTCGTTTGCTTTCAAACAGAAAGGATTGCCAATGTTAGCTTATAATAAGCGTGTTGAATGTTTTGATTGTGCAGCCGGGTATGCGGAGTTACTACTGATTCAAGAGAACAGAAAAAGCGAAGGAGAGAAAATGAAATCATGGGCCGCATCTGCGTGGAGAAACAAACGCATCTCTCTTTCAGAAGCAATGACTCTCTCAGAGCCATTAGGTAAAGTAGCAATCATAGATGCTCGCACCACTCGAGTCCTCTAAAAGAATCAAACTTTCATAACAACTGTCACGTTTTTGATATGTAATTAAACTTCAGAATTTTACATTTCATAAGATGCTTTGTTGGAAAGAACACACAGAGTGTTACATTATAGAGGAAGATCAAGCCCTTTCCCAATCTCTACACCGATCACTTCAAGTATTCCCTTGTTCAGAATCTGGAAAACGTAAATGATGTTTCAGTTTAGGTTTCGTTGTATGTTTAAACCAATTCTTGCAAAAAAGAAACCATTTCGAAACTCACCAGTTCGACGATGAAAGTACCAATGAGTCCAATCATGCAAGCTCTTGAGTTCCATATTTCAGCTGTTTGTGTGAATCCCAGAAACGCAGGTTGAGATTTCGGTTGTACTTTTGGCAATATCACCTGCGAAAAGGATTTTAATTTCCCATTTGAAGATTAAGCCTTGATTATTGGAAAAAAGGTTCAAATTTTACTCCTTCAGGAAGTTTGGCGGCTCGGACAACGACAGATTGTTGCGTACGACTGAAACAGAGGTTCTGCCTCCGACCATGGCTTTGAGCCGACAAGGTAGAAAGCGGATGAAAGAGAGATGACGATAACGGCGACGAGCTCATTTTTATTTTATTTTGTTGAGGGAATTTAGAGAGAATTAATGGAAAATTTTATTTTTTGATGAAAATCTTTATCTTCAGAATTCAGTTCCGAACCTGAGTTTGTGGTTGCACTGTTCACTTATCTCCAATCCATTCTTACTTTGCCACGTGTTATATCCTGATACACATGTTTCCTTTTTTCTAGGATTTTATGAGATTAAATTATATATGGATTAGATTTAATACCATTAAAATTTGTTTATATTATATAAAAATTAAATATTTTCATTTGTGATTTTCGAGTTTTTAATCTATAAATAAGAAATTCAAATCTGTGATTTTTATTGTCGAACAATATTGTATGAGTACATTACAATTGAGTTTAAATCTGTGTAAAAATAAATTAAAAAAAACATGTCTCTTTGTGGTCTTCTTTTCGTAAGGTGCTAAATGTAGTTTGACATTACAAATGTCGTTCTTTTTGCCGGACGAATGTTGTCTTGGTGGTTTGCTCTGTCTCTCTTCTTGTTTTCGTATCGGAAAATCTGAAATATTTTAGAGAGACTTTCAACGTTATAGTCATCATTCATGTTCATCACATCACCTCTCTGCAACAACCTCAAAATACTCTTCCCTTCACATGATGTTCTTATAGACAATTGATGATCGCTGTTTCGATTTTTCATCACTTCGACACATTTCTCAATTTTTTCCTGATATTACATATTTCGTAGTTAGTTTCATTTTGTTCCCCTCGTGAAAAGTTCTTTTACAAAAAAAAAAAAACGTTATGAATAATTAATTTACCTTTTGTTCTTGTCCAAAGAGTTTCATGATATTATCTTTCAGCCTTTCTTCATCCAGAACATTCAACATAGCCGCAGCTGCCACAACGCTTGGTGGATATTGAAGAATCTTCAAATCTGCATACATCAAGATGTAAAATTGCGTATCAATTATTCGGTTTCCTCGTTCAAATAATTTTTACTTTTATAACAAGAAACATTTTGAAAATAATGATAGACCTTATTATTACCGCATAAATCATTCATCAAATGATTTGTAATTCGATTCATCATCATGTAATCCCCTACCACACCAATCCTCGACACAAGGGTTTGCGAAAAAGAATAACTCGTAACCGAGTTTACACGCCATTCGAGAGCTTTCAAAATTATAAGTTCCATCTGAAGAACAGTATTGACGTGAAACATATGAGTTAAACCTTCCATTTCAAGTTCTTCGAGTAATGGGGTTGTAACTTCATTGAACTTTGATGCGATCGATAATGAAGTTACCGCAACTAGTTCCACCATCCAATTCGTCCATTCCTGCATTTTTTAATAAGAACATTTCATTAATTCATCCGCAAATATAAAACTTAATCACATTAAGTAAAAATATTTTGCTTATGAAAATAAGTATACTTACGTCACAACAAGTCATATAGACGAACCGATCAAAACAATTTACGGCGGAAAATACCGTTTCAAATGAAAGATTTAGCCGACTCCGAGTCTGCCAAAGCACAAAAAAGAACTTACGGTTTATTAAAACTATGATGTAAGAAAATACATATTCATACAAATATTTTAAAACTAATTTATGTGCCAATAAATAATTTTGCGGCAAAAAAACTTTTTCGTACGTAAACCGAAAATTTTAAAGTCTATCTTGAAAGATTTTATAGGTTGTTGTAAGTATCTACACATGGGCAAACAGAATAGATAATAATAATTAAGGTACCTGGATTAGCCATTGAACGGCTTGAAACCTATAATCGGTTAACTTCTTAGAGACGAAAAATTCAACAAACTTGTCTCCATAATTACTAAAACATAACTCTTTCTCTAAGTCCATAGCAATGGCTTCCTCCATCGTCGCTGCGTCTATCTCTGGATACATCGCCACGACGTCATTGTCGTGAGAACTGTGACGGAAGTTTGGTAAAGGCTCCGGGGTTAAAGGACTCGAGGGCCATGACTCTTCGCAGAGTAGATTATCCATTTCGCACTGAACCGGCTTGATAAAACCGGTTTTAAGGTATACTACTCTTCACTCTGGGAAACAGTGTTGTGAGATTAGAGAGAAAGTGACGTATATATATATGGAGAGAGAGAGAGAGAGTCGTGGAGAGGAAATGGGAAGTTATGGAAGACAGTTAAAAGTTAAAAAAATACGTCGGTTCAATCAGAAGAAGATGCGTCGGTTTAGTGAACCGGTTTAATCAGTAGCCACGCTCTGATCATTTAGAAACTCCACGTTTATAAACTTTAGCTTAGACATATTTAACGAACTAATCGGAAAGAAACTCTTACATAATTAGATGATTTTGGATAATACGATAAGAAAATCATATTACAATCTAAAAAAACATGAAATTATTAGATAATATTAAACTCCGATGATCGGAGATTCAAGATCGGAGAGAGAGAGGTTTATCATAACAGAAGAAACAAACTTTTATTAATCTCATCAAAGTATAGTTACAAAGCTTAATCCAAATGTAAAACAGAGTTTAGCTTATATACATAGGATTAAGATGATGAACATTAAACCATAGACTGGTTAACTAAAACCAGAGTAAACCGGTCAATGTAGTATACTCAATAGATAACTTGAATTTCGAAACTAAAATGCCATTTTCAACTATATAACATTTTTTTTTATGTGCTGTCAACTTCCCACTATTGGAGAGTTAAAATATGAGTCTATTCAATATTCATAAAGTTTGACGAAAATGAGTGGATTTAGTTGCGAAGGGATATAATAAGAAGACGTCGTCCCACATGAAACGCGGTAAATGCTTTCTACCCAATCTTCATAGAGATTTCATGTTACAAAAAACGTTTTAAAAAATAAATGTTGCAGTGTTTTTAATTTTAACCAACCTCGTGAGTCCACGACCTTTGCGTAATTACCTCATCCACCCATGACAGCCAATAAATTACTAACTATTTTTATTATTTTATCCTCTGTTTTTTGGCACCAACTTCCTATTTTTGTTACCAACCAAGATTTTACTTTCGATGTTCTTGTGATTTCATTTTATCTATTACTTACTTCTGCTCCATTCCATTTATCTAATGACAGAAAGAAAAAAAAAAAAACCAAAAAAAAAAAATTGCTAGCTTGTTTTTATTAGTTGCTTAAGCCCCAAGAAACTTGTTAATTTCTTTCTACTGTAGTTTGTTCTTCTCTTTCTCCTTTGTGTCCGCTTTAACGAAGTCGCTTTAACCCATAGAATTGCCTTGCAAACAAATCTCTCAATCTCAGAAAATATAGACAAAATACAATGAAACTGGTCATCAGTACCAAAAACAAAAGAAAGATCTAAGAAAGTAACAAAACATTACACAACAAATGGCACCCCGAGGGTTAAGCAGAGAGATCTTGGAATTGCCAAGGGTTGAATTGGGTCACCTTCACATCCGTTGTATCCTCAGAGTTATCGGCTGTGGCGCGGTGCACCGAGTACTTTCCATTGAATTGGTACACTTCGAGATCACCCCATGGTGTAGGAGTGACTTCCTCTGTTTCATCAAACCATTTTGGAGCAAATATTTGCCCTTTCTCTTCTCTATCGGCTTCTCTTCTCAGCTCTTTGTCTCTCCTCTAGGCTGCAAAATAGAACCCGGCTTCTATTAATCTTTACATTACTAGAGATTACCTTGAGAGATTTTCATTTTGTTCAGAGGCCAAGAAGAAGACTTAGGCCATGGATCTAGTAATCTCCAGTCTTTCTCCAAAAGAAAAATGATTTATCTGTAAACACATGACATGCAATGACCTATAACTCTGTATCTATGCTATGTATATATGTGTACACATGAATTGATATGACCAAGAATCTCGATCTTCGTTACATCTTTTTAAAATCAGTCAGTGTTTGTTGAAAAAGGTTCCACTCAAAAACCAATGATGGACAAAAGAGATCATCAGACACAATTCATGTCTTCAATCTTTTGGTCCTCTGTTTCATCGCTCTGTTTCCTTCTTCCGTCCACCTCGGTCAGGGAAAGATTCAGCGATTCAAATGGGAAGTGAAGTACGAGTTCAAGTCACGGGATTGTTTCGAGAAGCTACTAATCACAAAGCACCCAAAAGCTGAAGAACACTCCTCCAACAAGCTTACTCCATTGCGGAAATGGACTGTACAGAGTCGTCGCAGGCCCCACCGCAATCGCAATTATATTCACCATCATGATCGACAATGGAGGAACCATCAAAAAGCTCCATTTCACAGCATACAGATCAGCAAACTCATCCTCTCCTTCTTCTGGTGTAGATGACTTGGAAGTCAAGGTAAACGAGATATCGACTCCTGCAATTACCTTGAGAAGACCCTTGAAGAACAGCTGCAGGGTGTGCGCTTGTACATGGCCTTCGGTTTCCTCAGCGATATCTTGACCTTTCTTCTTCCAAGCCAGCCATGATGTTCAGTTGCTCTCGGCGGGCTAAACCCGTAGAGAGCTGTTCTTCGGAAGATACAGCCAGTTCCCACATACATTGGACCTTGAATTCCATCCAAAGCTCTCATACTAACATCAAAGAAGACAGTGTGGTGGTTTGCATAACGATCATTTGGGTCAATAACTCCAAACCTCTGAGGGAACTGAACATAGCAGATTCTATCACCTCCACGATCAAGCAAGACGAACATTCATTCCTTCCCTCATAGCAGTGTTCAAAAAGCGCTAGGCGGTATCTAGGCGGCGACCTTCAGCCTAGCGCCTAGAACGCCTAGTCGGGGCCTAGGCGATTTTAAGCGGAATATGCGGTTTTAGCATTAAGCACTATATATATATATATAATTATAAATATATAAGTATATAACACGATAAAAAATCTAAATCAAATATAGAAAACCTAAAATATGTCAAATTAAAAAATATGAATCAAAAGTTTTCACTTCAAAGTTCAAACACTAAATTTCAAATTAAATAAAGAAGCAAAAAGTCTAAAATAAGAAATAAACTAAATTTCATATTTTTTAATCATCTAAATAACAGCACTTAAACTTTGTTTCGTTACTTATTGATTTATTGTGTAAATTGAATTGATTCATAACAAATACAAACAGAGAATATAAAATAAATCTAAACACTGGGATAATAATCGAGTAGGTTACCACTTGCCAGAGATGATGAGAAACAAAGAAACGATGAAACTAGATGACGCATGTTTCTCTTTCGTCGAGACTTGGGAGAATTGGCTGAAAACAGAGTTGATTTCGGAGAAGAGAGACGACGAATCGTGTTGTTGTGGCCTTGTGGGACGTGGGTTTAGCTTCAATTAAAAAAAAAAAACCTTTTCTCTTCTTTTAAACGACGTCGTTTGAGAGATTTTGAAATTTATAAAAAAAAACCTAGGCAGAATTAAACCGCCCAGACCGCCTATACCCGCTTAATCACCGCCGGATCCGCCAAATTCAACCCAACGATTAATACTCCCGATTTTATGAGAATCCAAGCGGTCTAGGGACGCCTAGCGCCTAGGCGACGCCTAGGCGGCCGCCTAGGCCGCTTTCTTGAACACTGCCTCATAGCCATGGAGTTGCAGATGTTAGTGATCAGAATCAAGGTTGAGGATGAATGGGCCATTAGACAAGCTATAGCGCTGCTTCTAATTTCATGGCTCCTTCTCTCTCGAAACATGGACCAGCAATGGTAATCCCCTGATGCACCAAATTCTCAGTATCTGTTTCTAGCTCCATAAAGGTTCTGCATTAGGAGGAGCCAACATCATCATCTCCACTTATAAACAGTTTGGTTTAAAACCATCATCTTCATCTGTTCTTTCGTTCTCCACAAACATATGAGTGTTTGTTTGTAACAATCGTCCCGGTCCCACATAATGTTTACAAACTTACCGTTTAGATTAGATTATCACCGTCCGATATCTCACAGTTGCAACGTGATGAAAATAAACGGTCTAGATCTCTCGAACGTTCTAAGATTTTCTTATTTTTTGTCAACCCTAGTAAGAAAAGGAAACAAGCGTTCAAGAAAAAAGGAAACAATCACAAATTTCCTTTTTGTTTTGGGAGAAGCTAACGCTTATAAATAGAAACCTGAATCTTCACTCTCATTCTCTCTTCTTCTTCTTCTTCTTCTTCTTCGATACCATAACAAAATAATTCTTCATCTTTCATTCTCTTGTCTTTTCTAAACACAACTATCGTTTTTGATCGGATTCTCTCGTCTTTCACCGAGCCAAGGAGAGCACCAAGACGGCCAAGGCAAGAGCACCAAGGACGAGCCACCGAAAGCTTTCACCGACAGCCAAGGAGAGCACCAAGACGGCCAAGGCAAGAGGACAACGAAGAAAGAGACAAAGAGAGACGGTGTTTCCATGGCTGTGATCATCAAAGAAAGCGTCTCCTCAGGATGATCGTCGATTAGTCTCTGTTTCGTCGAATCAGGTAGTCTTAATTTCTTTTTCTTTGATTTTGTTTTTTGTTTTTTTTTTTTTTGTTTTTTGATAAATGTTAAATTTTTTAATTTTGTGTAAACCAATTGGATACATCATCCAAACTCTTAAGAGGTGTTCTAGGTTCAATATGCTTTACACATAATTAAATTTTTAACACTTGTTTTTTTTTTAATCTTTTGTTTTGTTTTTTGTTTTTTTTGATAAGTGTTAAATTTTTTAATTTTGTGTAAACCAATTGGATACATCATCCAAACCCCTAAGAGGTGTTCTAGGTTCAATATGGTTTATACATAATTAAATTTTTAACACTTGTCTTTTTTTAATCTTTTGTTTTGTTTTTTTGTTTTTTTATAAGTGTTAAATTTTTTAATTTTGTGTAAACCAATTGGATACATCATCCAAATCCCTAAGAGGTGTTCTAGGTTCAATATGGTTTACACATAATTAAATTTTTAACACTTGTTTTTTTTTTTTAATGTTTTGTTTTGTTTTTTGTTTTTTTGATAAGTGTTAAATTTTTTAATTTTGTGTAAACCAATTGGATACATCATCCAAACCCTTAAGAGGTGTTCTAGGTTCAATATGCTTTACACATAATTAAATTTTTAACACTTGTTTTTTTTTTAATCTTTTGTTTTGTTTTTTGTTTTGTTTGTTTTTTGTTAAATTTTTTAATTTTGTGTAAACCAATTGGATACATCATCCAAACCCCTAATAGGTGTTCTAGGTTCAATATGGTTGCACATAATTAAATTTTGGGAGACTCACAAAAATGCCCCTTTTTCAATACCCCTTTTCAAAAATGCCCCCTTTGGATGTCCATTTTTAAAAATACCCCTTTTATGTACAAAATGACTAAATTACCCTTCTTTTAATAAAAGATATCATAAATATATAAGAAAATATAACAAAATTAGGTCCACAAAATACAAAATATTTTTGGCGGGAAAAGTGATCCCCCAATTTTTCCCGCCAAAACACTTGTAAAAATTTGTAAAACCTTTAAAATACCTTGTAAAATTTTCCCGTAAAATTTTTTCCCGCCAAAAATTTTTTTTTGCGGGAAAAGTGATTCCGCACATTTTTTGGAGTTAAACTTTTGGCGGGAAAAATTTACAAGGTATTTTAAAGGGTTTTTACAGGGTATTTATAAGGTTTTACAATGTATTTTAAAAGGTTTTACAACGTATTTATAAAGTATTTTTTTTGCGGGAAAAGTGATTCCGCACATTTTTTGGCGTTAAATTTTTGGCGGGAAAAATTTACAAGGTATTTTAAAGGGTTTTTACAGGGTATTTATAAGGTTTTATAATGTATTTTAAAAGGTTTTACAACCTATTTATAAAGTCTTTATAAGATCTACTATACATTTTTGCAACACTTTTTGGGGTTCCTAATCGGGTCAAATTTTGTTTAATTTTGACCCGGAAATCTTCAATCGGATCTTTCCTTATTTTTGACAAAATTAAAAAACGAAAATTAATCAATAAAATCTAAAAATATATATTTTCTCAACTAATTACTATACCTAAACTCTTTATTTATGGCATATTCTCTACAATTTTTATAGATATAGAAATCAAATATGATTATTTAATGCTAATATAACAAATTTGAACTAATTTCCTAAAACCTCTCTACCTAATTAAAACATAAATATATGATTCTCATTTCACTTTTATATGATCTTATATTTATATTATTTTGAACTATTATAAAATATATATACTTAATAAAAAAATTCGATTTTTTTTCTGCATATGCTATGATTCAAATTTTTTTAAACGGACATATATTACTCAATCGATGAAGAAAAAAGTATGTGTACAATCTATATTAACATTTTTGAAAAACAAATTTGCACGTTTCATCAGGTCGTATATTTTTTTTACTCTGACCCGGAATTGAGCCATTCAGATATTTTCTTAATTTCTAAAATTATCTAAAACGGGACAATATACCACGGTGAAATCTTAAAATTAACAAATCGAAATACAATTATTTAGTATTTTAATATACATTTTTAAAATATTTTTACGGGTTGGTCTAAAACACACACTAATTTGAAAAAAAATATATATATATATATATATATATATATATATATATATATTATAGAAACTATTTGAAAGCAAACTTTTAAATTGACTCGAATTATATGTCTTTTAAATAAAAGTGTTATTAAAAGAAATAACAAAATGATGTTTAATTTTACGGGACATGATTATATGGTGGGACGGGTCGGATTTGGATTGATATTAATACGGGATAATATATCACGGGTGAAATCCTGGGATTAACAAATCAAAATACAATTATACAATTTTAAACACTAAACAAAAAAATACAACTTAAAATTTTCATTTTTAGTTACAACGCATGTGACTCGAAATGTCCAACAAAAAAATATTATATACAAGAAATTCATCAGTTTATAAAAAGACAAAAAAATCAAATAATTAACCCGCGGTGTACCGCGGGTAACAATCTAGTATTATAAGATTTTACAAGCTATTTTATAAGGTTTTACAAGTTATAAGGTTTTACAAGTTTTTTATAAGGTTTTACAAGTTATAAATACCTTATAAGTACCTTGTAAAACCTTTTAAAATATATTGTAAAACCTTACAAAACACTTGTAAATACTCCGTAAAACCTTTAAAATACCTTGTAAATTTTTCCCGCCAAAAATTTTCGGCAAAAAAATTACGGAATCACTTTTCCCGCAAAAAAAAATTTTTTGGCGGGAAAAATTTTTACGGGAAAATTTTACAAGGTATTTTAAAGGTTTTTACAAGTGTTTTGGCGGGAAAATTGCGGGATCACTTTTCCCGCCAAAAAATATTTTGTATTTTGTGGACCTAATTTTGTTTCAAATAAGGGTAAAATGGTCATTAAAAATTAAAAGAAGGCAAACTTAAAAATAGACTCTCAAAATGGGCATTTTTGAAAAGGGGTATTGAAAAAGAGGCATTTTTAACAATTTCTCTTAAATTTTTAACACTTGTTTGTTTTTAAAATGTTTTTTTTTTTGATAAGTGTTACATTTTTTAGTTTTGTGTAAATTAATTGGATACATCATCCAAACCCCTAAGAGGTTTCTAGGTTCAATATGGTTAACACGTAATTAACTTTTTAACACTTGTTTTTTTTTTTAATGTTTTGTTTTGATTTTTGTTTAAATTTCCTTTTAAATTTTTAACACTTGTTTTTTTATCAAAAAACTAGTATTTTGGCATGTGCTATGCACAGGCATTATCATGTTATATACTTGAATTGATTAAAAATATAGAAAATAAGACAAAAAATAGATAGAGGGAGAAAACATTACAAACACCTTATATCATTTATGTGAACGCATAAAGAAAACAAAATTCATAAACTAAAAGAAATGTAACATTGTAGAACGAACTTGTAGCCATTTCGTTTTAGGCATCCTATTATATATTGAAAAAGACATAACACATAAATTAAAAGAAATGTAACACAAACAAAATGCAAACGATTGTGGTTACCTTTCTTTGAATCGTTTATATATATCAGCAATGCAGGATTAATGAAGAGCCTTTGTTGACAATTTTGCACTTTGGATTATGATTTTCCTAAAAAAATAAATAGAGAAAACGATGCTAAGATTTGTAGGTTTGGGCCAAAAAGGAATTGAGAAAAAATCAATTGATAAGACATACCATTAGAAACATGAATCCTCATGAGATTACAAAGCATTAACAATAGGTCCACCAGAAAAGGATTGAACGTAGGAATGTATGTTTTGGCCAACGATTTACCAATTATATCTGTATTAAAAATATGAAAAATTCATAAGAATATAATAAGGTGTGTAACTTTGACAAATATACATTGATGGTGATAACACATACCAACGTGTAAAATTGTCAGTGTTCATTGATACACAAACCATCACTCCACTTTACCAAGTCGGACTTTAATTCTCAGTAACAGACTCTAGTTAAGCAATCGGTGTAAAATCAAGTTTCATGTTGCAAACAGTGATAGTAGTACCTGCAACTAAATTGATAAAAATCAAAATAGAGAAAAAAGACAACAAACTGTTATGATTTGGGAAACTGGAATTACCTTTGAGGAAGAAAAAAAAGACGACCAGCGTGGTGAGAGGTTGGTTTGAACGAACTGTGTAAATTAAACAAACTGTGTGGATTAAACGGTTGGTGTTGACGAATCAGGTTTGGCTATAGATTAGTGAAGGCGATTCCGTAAAAGTAGCAACGATTTTTTTAAAGAAGGGATGTTGATTTGAAGAAGACGAATGGGAGAACAATTGTGATAATCGATTGTGAGATATACATGGTGAAATTGATGAGAGTAGGAAGTTAATTTGGGGATCGTGGTTTGCCAAGAGGAGATCGTGGAGCTTTTTTTTAAGAAAAAAATTTGATTTTTGAGAAAAGGATAAATCAAAAGGAAAACTGAATAAAAAACTTAAGAGAACAAATAAAAACTAATCGTGGATTTTTTTTTTTTAAAAAAGAAGAGTAATGGTTAGAGAAAAAAGGAAAAAGAAAACAAATAAAATAATTAATTAGATCTAAAAATTGAAAATGACACGTGTCGCAACCAAAATTGACGACTGACTTCTGTTTTATATAATAAAGGATGTTATTAAATTTATATTTTTTATTTATATTACTATCAACATGTTTACACATAATATAAATTTAACAATTAATTTTTTTTTTTTTTAATTTTGATTAAATTTACATTTTAAAATTTTTACAAATAATATTTTAAATAAATTGCTTTAAGTTTTACATAATTAGATGTTTTATGCTAATTGCTTAAGCCCCAAGAAACTTCTCAATGTCTTTCACTAGTTTGTTCTTCCCTTTCTCCTTTGTGTCCGCTTTAACGAAGTCGCTTTAACCCATAGAATTGCCTTGCAAACAAATCTCTCAATCTCAGAAAATATAGACTCATGGAAAAATACAATGAAACTGGTCATCAGTACCAAAAAACAAAAGAAAGATCTAAGAAAGTAACAAAATACTCGAAAGATCTAAGCAGAGAGATCTTGGAATTGCCAAGGGTTGAATTGGGTCACCTTCACATCCGTTGTATCCTCAGGGTTATCGGCTGTGGCGCGGTGCACCGAGTACTTTCCATTGAATTGGTACACTTCGAGATCACCCCATGGTGTAGGAGTGACTTCCTCTGTTTCATCAAACCATTTTGGAGCAAATCTTTGGCCTTTCTCTTCTCGGCTTCTCTTCTCAGCTCTTTGTCTATCCTCTAGGCTGCAAAACAAAACCCGGCTTCTATTAGTCTTTGCACTACTTTGGGAGGATAACCAAAAGACTATGAGTAGCTACCTGCTCTTTTCAAATCCAGATTTGGACATATCACCCATCTCAAGCGCGTATCTATCTGGACGTAGACGTGAATCAGATGACAGTAGCTTTTTAGGAGCAGTGTCAAAACTATTGATCTTGTGAGCGAAATGTGTGTATTGGAATTTATCGTTCTTTGGAGCTTCAGCGACCTTCCATACCTGTGAAAGGTGAGTAGATATATTATTCAAAGGGTTTGCATAGAGTATGGCAAGGAGAGAAATTGATAAACCTCCTTCAGTTCGGTGCCTGGAAGAGGTTCGCCTTCCCCATCACATGGCTGATAACTCAAGGACTCGTTCCATTTACCGGTCATTAGCATCTTGGGCTCTTCAGCTGAATTATACACGTAACCGTCCACTTCATAACGTCCAGATCTGTCCATTAGGTCCACATTTCAGCTCTAAATGGAGAAGCATGGAGATGAAATTCAAGTGATCAGATTTGTTTAAAGGGTTTTAAGTTTGATGAAGAAAGAACTTACCCAAACCAGCCGCATGGTTGAAAGTAAAGCACCACTTTGTCACCAGTGGTCAGGTTCGTCATGACCATCTCTCCTGGCGAATCTACCCATGTTCGACCAAAGATAAGGTTATGAACCTTTGTCAGGGGAGGTACAAGATCAAGAACCACACCATCTCTTTTAAGTGTCACTCGGGTCCTGCACACAGAGTCATTGAACTATAAGTTCAGGTGCTTTTGTCTCACAATGCAGAATCTGAAATCTAGATACATCTTTAGGAGAAATTACCTTCCTACTGGGTAGACGTCAATTGAGTTGCCCAAGAATTTCGTTTTCAGTTTTGAAGTGCAATCGTAAGCGAAATGCTCGTTTTCTGCGTGACCAGCACTCATTGGTGGGTGATGGCAAACCTGAGGAACAAAACATTGATATATCTCAACTAAGAACTCATGATTATTAACAATCACATTGGAATATGAGTTCTAAAGAAATGACTCACCTGTTCAGCTATAAAATTGATCCCATTATGATTAGTCATCTCGTAAGTCTCACCGAGAATTGGATTGAACGGCTTCCAGGTACGCTGGTAAGCATAGTACACCGATATAGCCCATGATGCTGTTAAAAATCAAATAAAATTAGCCACACCATGAAAAAACTACAAGAAGAGACACTGATCATAGACAGCTAAAAAGAGTTTGAAAACAAAGAAGAACATGAAGAGTGGGGATGTGCTTACATGCATATACCATACGCATGTAAGGATCTTCAGTTTTGTCAGCCATGTCTAGCAGATGCGAGTATTCCATCAACTGTTAGATACAACAAAACATGATCAATATCAACCAAAAGCTAAAAGATCTTTCATAAAATCTAATCTAAGAGCACAAACCTCAGCCATTTTCTGCAGCATTGTCATGGGTTCAAAAATAATCACAGGAAGAGTCACCATAGATGTAACATCAGACCCTATATACTTCTGCATCATCTTCCAATAACCATCACGTTCCTGATAAATCAAGCCAACATATAAATCCAGAGGATTGATCAAGATTTGTTCCTTTTTCCCCAATTCTAGTAAATCAGGATGATATACCTCTTGCTTCCATCTTCCTCTTCCTGCTTCCTCCTCTGCATCTTCTGTACCTCCCTCTGGATTAATCACTTCAAGCCCTTCATAGCCCATCAAACTGAGAAACAAACAAAATTGATTTCCAGATTCAACAATTCAACATGGAGACCAAATCAAAGATTAACATAACAAGTATGTGAATCCAGCTGACGATTATAGGATCCGAAAACGAGGAAATGTGTTGGGGATTTGATTTCCTTACCCGTTCACTGATTTGCTCATGGCCGATCCGAAATTGGTGATGGATGAAGCAAGAGAGGCGAAGAAACCGCCGCCGTTTTTTGGATCGTTAGAAGCCATAACCACCGGCGATTATAGAAACCACCAGCTCCACCTTAAGAAATTATGAGATTGATCAGCGACGGAGATGACGAAGAAGACGATTCTTCCTTCGTTGGCGGTTCTCCGATTTGAAGTCAAAAAGCCACTAATGATTCAATTTCGTCCTTAATCATATTTGAAACATTAAACCGAGCCAAACCGGATTCGACATAAACCACGTGAGGCCGAATATTAGTAGATCAGATTCTACATGTTGGGCTTCAGATAACGGCCCAAAGTATATTTTGTTCGTTTTTAATTTAATTTTTAACGGCTATGTATGTGTTTGTTCTTATTCTCCTCACCTAACACGATCCTCAAAACTAAGAAAGTATTGTCATTGCTTTTTGAGTGAGAGAGCCAATTATATCTGTATTGAAGTCAAATTCATATAATTATATCATTATTTACTAATAACAAAGATTTTTTTGGATAATATATAAAATAAAATGACTATGGGATCAAACTTTTCCCAATCTGTGATGTAAACTATGACTTCATTCAGGATTTTGAGGCTAGTGCGGTGGGTAATTTGATACGAAAATGAATTTTAGTGAATAATATCATTCTTCATTCAAGATTTTGTTATTCAAATTTTGAGTAGCTAGAGACTGTTTTCATATTTAAGATATTTATCAAGAATGTTCTTATCTTATCAAGAATAACTAATTCATACACGGTAGTAAACAACGGTTTATTATCCTTGTAAAATTAAGGGAATATATAATACATATAAATTTTGTTTTTGTGTGTAAAATGGTTGCTTGTGGGTCTATAATTAATAAGTTTATTAACAAACTATGATGATGCTTTCATTTATCTAAAAATGGTAATTTCAAGATTGCTTGAGAAGTTCAAGATTTCTTTATGTAAGTTAAGACTTCCCTTTCACATATTATCTATCGTCTCATAAAAACATCTTTATTTAATTTTATCTTCGATGCATATCCTCTCAAAACATTATTTACCGTCACGTTTAAGCATACGTGGCAACATACCCATCACGCCACGTCACTATCTCAACCCTCTTCCCTCTTATATTATACACCAAAGCCCTCTCTCGCATTGATCAAATCACAAAACCATAAAAAGTCTCATAAAGAAGGAAAAAAAAAGTTTCTCAAGGATTTCAGAGATTAAAAGAAATGGAAGGTTTGATTCCATTTTTGTACAAAGCCATTGTTATGTATAAAAGAGAAGGAAGTTTTTCGTCGGTTTTGCTAAGCGACCATCACTCTCCTTCTAACACCGGTTATTACATGCGACTTCCCGGCGACTCCTCCGGCAGGTTTCGAACGTCTGATCGCCGGAGATTTGGGACGGATCGTCTTGGATTACTTGAAACAACGCCGTCCTCTTCGCCGTCTCGTGTGTCCACTAGGAACATGATCACCAAACGTACGTAAGGACTGATGATCGATATACGTATAAAGATAATATTGTGGTAATTGTATATTAAATATTGTTATATAATACGGTCCACCTTAAATTATTATCGTTGCTAGTAAAACTAAGTTTTGTTAAAATCATCGAAATTATGGTAAACTGTAAATATAAGTGTTGTAAGGATGTCCATAATTTTGATGATGAAATTTAACAAACATGTAATTTACTGGTTTTTTGAATTTACGGTGGATCGATCATGTATGTATAATATGTTTAGTGGGTTTGTTAATTGTGTAATTGTAAAGTCAAGTGTGTTATCTTATGGAGTTTGCAAAATTAAATCATATCATAATGGATTTCTTGTCACTTACGCTTTCTTTTTCGTCAACGACGAAGTTGCTTCGGTATTATTAATTACTTTGTCACAGTCGATACTGTTAATTAAACCTTAAAAAAAAACATTTTCAAACTTTTTTCATGACTAAAAACAGGGAATACGTGTTTGACTTGAATGGGGTTTAAATAATAATTATAAATTTTCAAATAGGAATTTTCGTTCCATTAACCTATATCTCTTTAAATAAGTAAATATTGAACGCTAAATATAAAATTCGTGAATTATTTATAACTTTTTGTGATTATTTATTCACAATTTCAAACATATTAAAAAATCAGAATGTGTTAAAATTTTAAAGATCTATTAGGATCGGACCCGCGGTCTACCGCGGGAGAATATTGGTTTACATACGTTGCGTTTAATATTGTGTGTGTTTTTTAGTAGAACGAATCGTGTAGTATACTTATAAATATTCATAATAACGAATTGTAGAGAAAATGTAAAATTGTTTATAAATATACCCATGGTATCAATTATGATTTACAAAATAGAATTTTGTGTTTCAAAATTCTAAAATTAGACGATTCATGGGAATTAGAGCAGTCAAAATAGGTCAAAAACCGCGGGTCGAGCCCACATCATCTCACTATGGGGCAGATTTGGGAAAATATATTAAACCCGCAAATAAGCGGGCCACATGGATTAATTCGCAGTGGATCATAGGTTTAATCGGTTTTCATCGTCCGCGGGTTGGCGGATCAGCCCGCATATTAGTATTTATTGATAAAATTATAATTTATTCAACATGTGGTAATTTAAACAAACTTTTAATAGTATTTTGATTTATTTATTTATTTTAGTAGTATTTTAAATTTTGGTTACTTTAAAATTATTTAAACAAAATCCATGGACAATCCCGCAAATCCGCATAAATTCGCGGGACGAGTTTGTATTTCATATATGCTACCCGCGGGTCGTGCGGACCGACTAACTACAAGTCAAAATATTTTTTGTCTATCGCAAAACGGACTTAACGGGACGAATCAACTCGCTTTGACAGTTCTAATCGGAATATTATTTAGTCATACAACAAAATGAAGTTTGGACATAGTAATAATAGAATATGTATCTAATTTGTTAGATGAGAGATTGAAAGATGAAGTATAATGATTAAAAATTAATTATTATTTTTCATGATTCACAAAATTTAATAAATACTTATCATCTTGTTGAATAATTCTAAAATCATATTCAAGAAATCTTTATAAATTGAAAATTAAACTTCTTTGGTAAGCTATAGGTATGAAAATATCGTAATTTTGATTTAATCTAATTAAATTAAAATTAGTTACATGGATTTCATATCTATTTAATTTACACGACCAAAATAAAAATATCTATTTAATTTACACGATCAAAATAAAAATATCAATTTAATTTATAAAACAGATGGGTTATTTGTGATAAATTTTCTAGAAATCTTTAGAAACAAATAAAATATCTTTCAATTAATGATAATTGGCTAAAATGAGCGAAATTAATGACAAAAACGTTGATTGTTATGGAATTAGTCTCAAAAATATATGAACAAATTTATTATACGTAATTAATGTATAATATTGTTTGGAATATGCTTTTATTATTAGTTACCATAAATACAATCAGATTTTATTTGATTTCCATAAATATTTGATTTTATTTCGATTTTTCATTATTAATTCGAATTTATATTCCAAAAAAATTTCAAAGATCCGATTTCAGAATTTCGGGTCAATTTTCTGATTTTAACCCGACCCATTTCCATTTGTACTTTTCTTTTAATAGTATAGAGATACAAATCTGAAATATTGTTTAAAATTATGGTTAAACTTAATCACTCATATCATACACATAACTAATGCACATAGAACATCTACAGATTCTATTTTGTGTTAAGGAAATATTCAAACTTTTATCGACTTAGAAGCATGGAATCAACTGTGATATTCTTTGATGTATGTTGAATGTCGGTCTACGATGAGACGAATGAGATTATCTTCAACAATAGATTCAGGCTTATCCCATTCGCGTCTAACCACAACATTACCACTGCTTGAAACAACCACAACCTCTTCCTTACGCGTTGATAGCTCATTGGCTACAACTGCGTGAACTTTGTATTTTCTTAGAGCCTTTGTAGCCTTCTCTATCAGAATCTTTGAGTCTGTCTCAAGCTGGATCCATAATTTGCATAAAAATTTATCGAATTCCGGAGAAGTAACACAAGAGAGAATAGAGAATAGAGAGAGAGATTGACCTTGAATGATATGCAGAAAGCCATTGGATCTCAAGATTGATAGCATTTTAGGGACTTGAGCTAGTCTTATGTCTAAAGGACCAGATCCTGATTCTATTTTGTGCTCTGTCTGGTTTCACCAAATAAAAAAACATTTTTCAGAAACAAGAAATTGTGTAGCCATGGTTATTATAGGACATGAGACTCTTACCATGCTATCCCATGGCACATAAAAGTCAGATACAGCAGCAGCAAGATAAAACATTGAATATGGACCAACATCTTTCAATACCATTGCAATCAACCGCAACATCTGTAACCACAAACATTCACAAAGAGAAAGTAATATCAACTGTTGAAGAATTCTCATTATGCCTTATGGCAGTTTCTTTTGCAGTTATTATATGCCTCAAGACACAACAACAAAGATTAGCTTGTGTAAGATTGAAGAACCTGAAGATACTCATATATGGTTGAGAATGGGAGTTTTAGTAAGCGACCTTCGGCTACTGCCTGCAATGTTAATTGGCAAAGTTATCACACAATAGACTCGAAAGAAGAAACAAACAAAAAAGTAAAGTGATCCGAATTTTTTCATAAACGAATTCGGTAAAAAGAAACAATGGTCTAATACATACTGCTTGCTGATCCATAACAGCCATTTTCACAGCTTCCAAATGTGATTTATGAACTGAAAACACACTGAATATCCATAAACCATGAAATACATTTGAAGAAAGATGAATCTATAAATATAGATTGAGAAAGAGTTTGTCTAATGAAGAACCTTGAATGTTAGTCTTATCTGGAAACTCAAAACATTCAAGGAATGGATCATCGGGAAGAGACCGGCAATACGGTTGGAAAGTTCCCCTATAGATATACATAAAATCCGATATAAAGAACCACCGTTACCAAAAATTTCACTTATCTCTCAACTACACACAAAACAAAACTAATGTTACCTCCTATACAGAAATATCACAGCATATCCAGCCTTCACAAAATTCCTAATGCACCAAATCAGAACCAATTTAGATCAACAACAAAAAGAACCATAACTTTATTTAAAGGAGAAACAAAACTTACTCAGTAGAAGCAGCACCTCTATTTCCGGAGCTGAAGTTATCGATATACCTTACACATCGTTGCTCCAATGGAACCGTTGTTCCACCTGAAGTCACACATACGATCCTCCTTCCTCCTGAAAACCCTCTAAAACATTTTCACAAATTCAAAATGTCACATATATAAAATAATCAACAACTATGATCTTGCCTTGTGACGAAGAATTCAGCTCGATGAAATGATTAAGATTCTCTGTAGTCTCCTTCATGTTCTTCAGAGGTGGGGATGATTCAAAAAACGAACTAATTTCATCTTCCATAACTCCAGAGAAAGTGATTCAGATCGACGAAGCTTGAGGACAGGAGTGTGAGAGCGAGGAAGAAGAACATAAATGGTTGGGCTTTTGACGATCAAGCTCTAAATATTGGGCCTTAGAAAACGGCCCATATAATTACTTAATAGTTTTGCAAATAAGGTCATCTATTTTTGATAAACTCACACTTCTACTCGTTTAGTTTTATTTATAACAAGAAAGTACCTGAGATGCGGATTGCTGTTTGCGTCGAGGTCTTTTGTGTCACTTAATTTATCTTTTTCTTTCTGTCAAGTGTTGGTTGATGACGACATTATTTCTATCTAAACATAATTTCAATATCGTGTACATAACATTTATATGTAATGGGACATATGAAAATTACATTATAATTGATAATATATCATGGCTATAGGGGTAATTAAGGGGTTGTTGTGGCTTTCCAGTGGTGTGGGAAGTGGGAACGGTATCTTAAACTTGGTTACATAACTCCGTAATGAAACCGGACACTTCTCGTGTTTAAGTTTTTAACAACGAATACAAAAATTAAAATATGTGATAAAATCCAAATCTTTGCATGTGCAAAGCTTTGGATCTTGAATACATTCTTCATCCTTATTCTTCTTTTTTTTGCTCCTTAAGTTTTTGTTAAAGTTCATATTATATCTTGGAAGATGTATTACGATTACGGAAAAAAAAACCTTATTATAAATTTACTAAAAACCTGTTCTACAAAACTCTATATTGTCACACGACTTTTTGTATCGATACGGATAAATGGTGAAATATGTGATACTACTACAATGTTATTTTTAGTATATATAACATATATAAGCGAGAACAAAGCGTAGTAAAACTCTTTTTACAATTCAGAGAATCGACCAGAATTTTTTCTGAATAGCAATTAATCGTCCTAAACAAAAATGAAGAGGAGATGATGTGAAAATTATAGCTGTCGAAAACGATCGAATCTAAATATATAACGAAAACTCGAGTAAAAAATGAACCATCAATACCTTATAGTATAAACTATAAAGAGAAGAATGGAAAGTATACTTGTCGTTGAATAGTAAAGAAAACTTAGGAAACATGAAAATGTCGGGATGATCATGACAGACAATGAATCTGCACAATCTTCCTTAGAAAATACAAACATGATTTTGAGCATATCCAAATCAATCCTCACATTTTCTCGTTTTACAACAACTCGGGAATTGCTTTTTTACTTTATCATCATCACTAAGAAATACGTAACAATTGTATAACCACAGCAATAGCATAAACAATAATGACCTTTCATTAGTACATAAACCTAAACCTCTCTTCACATGTTCTGATTGCTAATTCTCCACATTCTAATTATTTCACCAAAATGGAGAAGAACCGATCATACTACACCGTATTGATACCAACTCTCTTGACCGTCTGGCTAGCATGCGCTGGTCATTCTTGTGCCCGCCATGCTAAGGCAAAACCTCCCATGGCCGGACCACCAAGGTGTCCTAACTGCGGACCCATGGTTGTACCTTATCCTCTAAGCACGGGTCCAAACTGCGGCGATCAAGCTTATAGGATAAATTGTGTTGGTGGTAAGCTTTATTTTGGTGCCCTCCATGGGTCATCTTATGTCATCACGTCCATCAACTCGGTGACCCAACGGATTGTTCTAAGCCCGCCCGGTCTTGCTAGCTCTGTATCTTGTATCTCGGCTGATGTCTCTAAACAGGGACTTGAGCTCGACCCGCATCTCCCTTTCAGCATCACTAGCAGCAACACCATCTTGCTACTTAATTGCTCTCAGGCTATGCTTCAGGTAAAGCAACACTACCTTTTTCCTCTGTTTCTAACTGGTTCTTTGGTTTATGTTGGTTATTTGGAGATTCGAACTAAATATAGCAAAAACGTTTAGTTCAATAGGACTAAATCCAGATTCGGTTCAGTTGGTTTGGTGTGAAGATTGTAGAACCAATTGGTTTATGATTATATTTGAGATCAGTATTAGTTTGGTTTATTCGGTTTGGGTTCAATTTTAAGTAGATTTAGATTAAAATGTAATGGAACCCGGTTTTCAGGACTGACCAAGAGATTTTGGGGTCTGCAGGCGCCAATAGATTGTAGTCCTACCAGTTTATGCTACAGCTACATCAAGAACAATGCATCACCTTGTTCTAAGGCTCCCTTGTGTTGCACCTTCAGAACCGACGGGTCTCAAACCGCTTACACGATCAGGATCAATAGTGGAGGATGCCTCGCATACCAGAGCTTCGTGGGGCTGAATCCAAACAAAGAGGTTCCTCCTCCCGGGATAAAATGGCCTGACACAGGGCTAGAGTTGCAATGGGCATTGCCTAAAGAACCAGTTTGCAAAACTGATGTAGATTGTAACCTCTTGTTGGGTAAATCAAAATGCTTGCCTGACCCGACGAGTCTCGGCCTAAAACGATGCTCCTGCAAAAGAGGTTTGGAATGGGATCCGGTTAACGCAATATGTAAGTAAACCAGCATAACAAGCGAACCATTGAAATCAAACTTTTTAAATCATATAATTTGTGTTTGATTAGTTCTTGGCATACATGTATTAGGTGGTAAATGTCGCCATGGGAAACACTGCAAAAAGAAGAAGAAGACCGTTGTCTTCGCAGGTACAAATGATAAACATTAAAACCGAATCGAACCGAAAATATATTCAAACTCCCATATGATTGTACACCATTTTAACTTCTTTGCCCTTGAAGGTGTGGCTGTTGCGGTTGTGGGAGCTACACTAGCGATTGCGGTAGCGGTTATTGCAACCAAACATAGCCACCAAAAGGTTAAAAAGGATCTCCATAAGAACATCGTCAAGGAGCGAGAAGAGATGCTTAGCGCAAATTCCACGGGAAAGTCATCAAGAATCTTCACCGGCAGAGAAATCACGAAAGCAACCAACAATTTCTCAAAAGACAATCTCATAGGCACCGGAGGTTTCGGAGAAGTGTTTAAAGCGGTTCTTGAGGACGGAACCATAACGGCGATCAAACGAGCCAAGCTTAACAACACCAAAGGCACTGATCAGATCCTAAACGAAGTCCGGATTCTTTGCCAAGTCAATCATAGAAGCTTAGTTAGGCTTCTCGGTTGCTGCGTCGATCTTGAATTGCCTCTCTTGATCTACGAGTTTATTCCCAACGGAACACTATTCGAACATCTCCATGGCAATCCAGATCACACTTGGAAACCGCTGACTTGGCGGCGCAGACTGCAGATCGCATACCAAACTGCTGAAGGATTAGCTTATCTCCATTCTGCAGCACAGCCGCCGATTTATCACCGCGATGTAAAATCGAGCAATATTTTGCTTGATGATAAGCTTAACGCCAAAGTATCAGACTTTGGGCTTTCAAGGCTTGTGGATTTGACGGAAACTGCTAATAACGAGAGCCATATCTTCACTGGTGCACAAGGTACATTGGGGTACCTTGATCCAGAATACTACCGGAACTTCCAGCTAACTGATAAAAGCGATGTGTACAGCTTCGGGGTTGTGCTTCTGGAGATGGTTACATCGAAAAAGGCGATAGATTTCAGTAGAGAAGAGGAAGATGTGAACCTGGTGATGTATATTAACAAGATGATGGATCAAGAGAGATTGATTGAATGCATCGATCCACTTCTGAAGAAGACAGCTAGCAAGCTTGACATGCAGACGATGCAGCAGCTCGGGAATTTAGCATCTGCGTGCCTTAACGAGCGGAGACAAAACCGGCCTTCGATGAAAGAGGTAGCTGATGAGATCGAATACATCATCAATATTCTGTCACAAGAGGTTACTGAGACATAGTTGTCTTAGACTTCACCAAAATGACTTGTACCCTTGCCCTGTTTCCGGTTATGGATTGGATAAAAGAAAGAAAAACAATTCATAGAAATGGATTTTTGTAAAATCACGGAGAATGGGTTTTGTTTAATATCATATCAAGATCCAAAACATGGTATGAGATGATATAGCAGCTAAAAACCAATTAAAGAAAGATAAACCGACAGAAATCTGAAACCTATCGCAAGAGAGAGCGGGTTGCTGCTTGCAAAACTCAGTGTCTTTTGTGAATAAAACCGTAACTCCTGCAGAGGAACACGCGGCTGCAAGAGCGAGAAGTGCAGTGACCTGCAGAATTCCAAAAGAAACCTATCAAACACATAACCTTTAAAACAACAAGACACCAGCAGTGAATGAAACATTATTAGCTATAATGAAATGGAAGATAAGTTTAGTACCCAATCACCAACAGTGAAAAGGCTCAATAAGATAGGGCTTTGTAAATCACTTTTTCTCCTTATTGCATATACGTCAAGACAAGCAAGTCCAAAGCTCCAAATCAATTGAAGACCCATAGATGCGACTAAGAAGCTGAAATTGTCAAAGAGTCAGGCAATGTTAAACGGATACAAATCATACACAATTACTGGTTCTGTTTTACAAAGTTAAGATAGATTTTTGGGTATATCAATCTTCACCTAAACTAAACTAAAGCACAAAGACCAATGAGACTGAAGATCGACAATTACCAGAAAGCAGTGTAATTAGAGAAGTCGTAAGAAGAAACCATAACACCAATGGAAGCAGCAGCAGTTGCACATTGCCCTAATCTCAGTATCAACCCACTCATTGTTCCAGGACTCCCAATCATCTTCTTCATTGATCAGGACAGAAAAACAAACACAAGAAGAAGAAAAAAACCAAGACTTTCTATATCTGTTCCTTACCAAAATCCCGAGAAATAAAAATCGCTACTTTACACGAAACCGATCATAAAACCCCTAAACCCATAATTTAATCAGGGAATTTCACAAACCCAAAACACAAAAGTTTCACTTAAGATCATAATTAAATCCTACGGAATTGGGTAATTAAGAGCATCGCCACCAGAAAAACAAACATTAAAAGAAGACAACTTTTTTGAGCTATAAAATTTTAAAAACAATTATCTACCACAATTTAATTCTGCGTTTTAGAGGAACAATTATGTTTCCCTTAACTTCAAGCCAAAGAAACTAAATTGAAGTTGGAAGAAACAGTGACGCAACTCTGACGCCGGAGAGAGCTATTTGTTCTTCGCTCTTTTTGCCTTTTAGGCTTTAGCACGTGTCCACACAGAGACATTCCTCTCTCACTCTACGAATATTCCAACTTTTTTTTTACTTTTAAAATATTTCTATTTTTCGTAAAAATTCATTTATGGGTTTCTTATGGCCCATTAAGTAATTGGGCCTTATTAAATTTTATATTTTACAGAATTTTTCACACTATAAACAAACCTTAAACCTCTCTTCTCAGTAAAACCCTCATTTCGATCTCTTCTCACTTCCAGATAACCCTAGAATCCTCAAAAATGGCGTTGAGCACCGTGTTTCGTCGAGCTTCGTCAACAGTAGCTACTCTTGCTTTCCGTGCGGCTAGATCTCCGGTGAGCTTCCGCAGTGGCGCTGTCTCCGCCGAGAGGTTGATTCTTGGTAGCCAGATCATGCGTGGATCTGTTAGTTCATTCTCATTCTCGAGGTTTTCGACGGAAAGTGCGATCACTAAAACAACCGCCGATGAGAAACTTGTTAGCGTTATCGAATCTGAAATTGAATGCGCCGTCGAAGAGGAGGCGCCTCATGATACTAGCATCGTAAGTTCTCTCTTCCAATATTCTTGATTCTGCTCAAATTCATGAGATTTGGATATTTCTAGGGTTCAGGAATGTGTGATTTTAGAAGGACTGTATCTGAATTAGAATGTGAATTTGGTTTCTCAGTTACTAAAAATGTTTTTTGGAAAACAGTTGGAAGAGAAGCCAGAAGGGTTTCCTTTTGAGATTATTGATACTCCAGGGGAAAGAACTGTGTTGCTGAGAAGGAAATTTGAGGATGAAACCATCCAAGTGGTAGTTGACTCTGTTGCTTCTTATGATGATGAAGAAGATGAAGCAGAACCAAACGATGAAGGAGACGATGAAGATCAAGAAAGCGTGGGTAAAATCCGGGTTCCGATGGTTGTGAGTGTGGAGAAAGGTGATGGTGTCTGTCTTGAGTTTGGAGTCAGCGCATACCCTGATGAGATTGTGATTGATAGTTTATCGATCAAACAACCGCAAGAATCTGAGAATGAGCTTGCTTACGAAGGACCTGACTTTGAGTAAGTTTAATTCAATCATAGTGAGACTTGTTTGCAATGTATGAGATTGGGATGTTGTTATGTGATTGAGAATTTGGTTATCGTGTTATGTGCAGTGACTTGGATGAGAATTTGCAGAAGGCTTTCCACAGGTACTTGGAGATCAGAGGCATTAAACCGAGCTTCACTACCTTTCTGGCAGATTATGTGGCCAACAAAGATAGCAGAGAGTATCTTCAATGGCTCAAGGACCTCAAGTCTTTCGTCGAGAAGTGAATCTAAACTTTGTTCAGAAAATAAGAGCGAGATGTTTTTTATTGCTTAAAACATTTGAGTTTATCTTAGATGAACTTGATATCACCATGATTGATCAAGCAAGCGTTAAAAAGTGAGGTTATGAGTTGTGCTTGTTGACAATATTGCTACATGTTTTTATTGTTACTTTGCTAGATTTAAGATGCAACTCTTTCGAGTTTTCAGTTCACAAAAAATGAATGATACGGGCACAATAAAGTAATTTTTTCGCATTTTCCCCAAGAATCTTGCAAATTTTGTAGGCACTCAGCACTCTTCTTATCCAATTACTCTAGGTTAGTAATCATCTTTTCATTTTCATTTCTTATTATCTCGTTACTATTCTAGACCTCAACCCAAAAAAAGAAAAAAAAAACATGCAAGCTGTTAAACGATTCTAGAACTTGTACACAAAGAATTTGTTTGAAAAAGAAGAACAGCAACAAAGCTGGCTTTACAAGTCTTTAGCAAAAAAAGAGGACTTTGCTACTAAAAAAGCAAAACCCAAATCAAAGAAAACAGATGATCCCATTCATTGAGCAACAAATCCAGATTGAACACCTAGAGAACAGCGATAAGCCGATAACAAAACCGGGTTATCTTGGAGAAATGCTGTAAGTTTGGTCTTTACCGCGTTATGTCCTCAGCAGAACACGATCATGGTGGTACAAGCTGCCAAAGAATGTCAACATTTCAAATAAATAACCATCCAATTAAGTACAAAGATGTTAGCAAAGAATAAGAGGTTTTAGACTTACATTACTCTAAATCTCGCTGTAGTTACGCCACACTGCTCGGAATTCCTCCCTAAATGTGTTAAGACGTGCCTTCAAGTTTGGTGTTCTCAAGCTTGCATGAAGAACTGTAGCTGTAACACAAATTACAAAAAGAGGTCGGGTTTATAAAAGCTTATGGATTCATGAGGTAGAGGGAGAGAAACTAAGTTATGACTTATGACAATTTGTGTAGATTGCATACCAAGAAGTCCAATGAGTAGCGCCAACGAGACTGTGAACAAACCACAGGAAATATACCAAAGAGCAAAACTCACTGTGAAACAAAAGCAGTTTCAGGATATATATATATATTTCATAAAGTTACTCATCAATTGAAAATATACAAAGCCACATACCAAGTGAGCATGTCAAGACAAAGATCCAACGGGGTTGACCACATACATGGATTGCTCTCTTTGATGATGGACGTCCACGAATGACAGGTCTATAAAACACAGAAAACATAGATGATAAGCAAGTAACAAAGCGTATGAAACGCAAACAAAGAGAGACAAGCGAGATAAACATACGTCAAAGGAGGTCTCATTTTAGCAGCTAACTGTGGAGAGAATCTTCTGGTGGTTCGTGTTGCCTTCTCACTAAAAGAACCTGCAAAGCTGTAGACAAGAATCCTCATTATGGATTCTACTGATTCAAGCATATCTAAAAGTCAAAGGTGTGAGAATCAAAGAGTTTGAAAAACAATAGAAAGAAGAAGAAAAACCTGTCATTTAGAAATGCCACACTTAATGCTGTCAAAAGCGCAGAGAAGATAGCGAGAGGCCTTGTGAGAAATCCCAATCCTGACAAGTAAAATTTGACAATTCTAAGAGAAGACATCATTGATAAACAACACAGATGATAATGCTAAGCACATACCAAGTATAACGACGATCATGATGAAATAGTTTGTTCGGTAGCTGCAAAAACAAGATCATCACTCACAGGTCAAAATTAAGCTCAATACGGAAACTAAGCTACCAAGAAGATTCAGATCCGAATAAATATGAATCGATCGAAACAACAAATTGAAGAAAAAAGAATCAATTGGCGAACAAGATAGAAGAGAGATCGTACTAGTAGAGATTGCACTTGAGACGACTATCCCATTTAGCGAAGGATTTAGGAACGGTGAACCTAGAGAAGAACTCAGACGGCGGACGCGGCGGAGACGACCAGTCAACTTCTCGGAGAGCATCGACGAGATCCTCAACCGTTACGTTTCCCCAATCCATAATCTCCGATCACAAAACTCTCAACACTTCTGATTCCACAATCCCTAGTTAACGCTAGCGAACAGAACAAATTCTCAATAGAATCGATCGATTGTGATCTAATTATAAAAGCTTCGTCGACTTTGCGATTTCTTGCTTTATATCGGAAAATTGAAGAGTCTATAATGCTTTTCTGCGATACATAAGGGAAAGAGGAAGGAGAATCATGTTGTTACGCCACGCGTCTTTTTGTCAAATGACGTTTATACCCTTCAGTCTGGTTCTTGTTAACCAAAGGATCCAAGACCAGATTTTATGTAATCCGGTTTTTCGAATCTTTTGACCTAAACTTTGGTTTGACGAAAGTGGTTTTATTTGTTGTAGACTAGACCGAAAGTCCGATATTTATATTTGTAAAAGGATTAAAATCATATTTTTAGACTTATGTCTAAAGAGGAGGATCTCAACAAAATAAAGGAATAGATATAGGGGACAAAAAATAATAGTACTGGCATAAAATCAATATTTATTTTAGACTATGTATGTATCAAATCATATCCCACTTCGAGTGACTAGACCAAATTAAATGATTGCTGAATATATTCTTCAATTAGATAAGTACATCACCCTCGGATGATAAATGAAAAAGAATAAAGCATTAGTGAAAATGAAATGTATGTAATATGCGTATTCGCGTATGCATGTTCTCGTACGCATATAATACAATCCAATTCACTTGCTTATAAACATTATAACGTACTTCAAATTACGTCTCCATGTATATTTGATTCATACCCGTTAAATATGTACCAACAAACGATGGTTTTGTGCATAATCAAACCATGTATTTGGCATCGTTTGCCGATTTGACATCCCTCTCATGTCAATTTGATCTTGGTGTAGCTCTCTTAGGTGAAGTCAGTACATTTTATTTTGCCAAATTCCTTTTCTAAGACATTAGTTTTGCATTATTTTTTCACTGTTTAATAAAGTTTTCAATTTGTATATATTAGGTGATTAAACTTAGACATTACAGTATTCAGATATCATCTACAAGCTAAGTCCTTTTTTTTACTTTCAAACTCATAAATTCTGATAACTAAAGGAAAAAAAAAAGTAGATCAAACTGGTTTATATATGTGAGTATACCATCACTATATGTCACCGTTCGGATTTAAATTCGCCTGATGTTTGTTTGACAAAAAAAAGTACAGAGAATAGGGATTATCTTTGAACTAACCAGTTTCAATGGAGTTAATATGAATTCGATGCTTCTTCTTTCTCCAAAACAGTTAAAGCTAAGTGTTTTCTTGAGTTAGGTGTTGTGTACGTAACTCGTGTTGTACTTCGAGTAAGGAAGAGGTAATCTGTATCCCGAGGATTAAAAAAACTATATAGTCACATACGTAAATGCTTATAAAGTTTTAAACCTCAGGATGCAGATTACCCGTTCATCACCAAGTACCTTCATCTTCTTCTTCGTGTTGTTGTTGTTGATGTTAATGGTGAGAATATATATAGAGCGGGTTAAGCTTATAAAATATAAATAGTAATGGTGCAAAAGAATAATACTTATTCCAAAGGTTTAATGCTTCTGGAATTTATCAAAAAAAAAAAACAAATACTCACACAGAAAGACAATATCTTTAGTTGTCCATGGTTTCTTATATATTCTCATCATTTTTATTTCTAGTTCAGCATATAGATAGACATAT